CAAATATTCTTGTTGTTATGTTCATAGTCTGCTAATTCGGTCATCATCAAGATAGCATCTACCGAACTGATGTATATACCTGACTGCGGGAACATTATTCTTTCTTTCGTCCAAGTGCAGTCTGCATAAAATATTTAATTTCTTCTCCAGTGCTAAAACCATAATTAAAATGATCTAAAATTTAATATTTAATTTAGCAGTTTTTCGAAAAGTATTTTACACCTTCCTACCACACCCCCCATTTTTTAATCCGCCGGCCATTTTTTATTTAATTTGCCGGGTTAGTTAGTTTCTGTATAAAAATTATACGACTGCCACATTCACAACAATTTAAAGACAGTGATGTTCCATTGAAAAGAACTTATGAACACACAGACATGCACGGGAGTGCTCAACCGCAATCCGTTAAGACAATAGGTGATAGGTTACTACAGTCCTGTATTACAATACAAATTCCTAGCACAAATTACATGTATACACATTTCCGTGCGCGCCTCTCAATCGTTTTTCATTGTTCCGTGTGCAAATTGCCGATAGGCTGTTGAACGATGCTTTAGTGGAAACTTTAGGGCAGGAATATGAAGTGTTCCAATTCAATTTCTTATCCCATCATAATAAATGTACTACTCGTATGCTCGGTGAAATGTAAATCATTTAATGCATGTAATCGTAATTGCATTTTGTACATAAAAATCTTAACGTTCACTCACACCTTTCTATTTCTCGAATGCTTCAATCTCAAAGCAGAAGTTTATTTAAGTTAATTTATTTTTTTAAATATCAAGCTTTTTTTATTTATCATGTTAATAGTATATTGAATTTATTTCGCGTTAAATAGAGTTAATCAATAATTTATTCATGATCTAAAATTGTAAACAATAATATACTTGAACTGATACCTTAAAAATGTGGGTCGATATATTAATGTGACACGATTAGAGGATACCATAGTGGATAATGGGATTACTACAACGTAGATGTGGCTTGTTCGTAATTCATAGTAATAGCGTTAACGTATTATACGCTCTGTAATCGGCCGTAACTGTTATCTGTGGCTGAAATGCTCTGATTTATTTAACGTTAATTAAGCCAATTCAAACGTTTTTGACTAGGTGTGGTTAGGTGGTGGTTGGTTATATCTTATATTTAATTTATTGTATTTCATTTTGTCGATATATGATATTTATGATATATTTTGTTGATATAATGATTATAAACAATAAGGATTAAGATCTGTTTTGTCGGAACTTGGAAGTAAATTACTGATAAAAAACAAAGATTTCAATGAATGTATTTATCACAAAATGCCCTCAAACTCATATCTCTCTCTCCCTCCCTCAAACTCATACTCATGTTTATTATAGCATTTAGGTTGATTGATTATAAAATGACGCGTAAGGCTAGTTTTTTCTTTACAAAATTGATACTACATTAAAATTCTTTAATGCCATTAGCAAGTATTTTAATAATTCAGGTAATTCCATCAAAACTAAAGATATCAATGTCATGTGAGCTTTATTTTGCTGCAAATCTGGGCTCCAACTATTTAAAACCAAAAACTACATGAACACGTGAATAAGTAAAAAATAGGAGTTCTTCTAATTTTAGTTCATGTTTGAAAATACATTTAGTTACATAATAACTTAGTTTTAAATACATCATTTCAAGATAGGTTTTAAATTTCACGATTAGCCATTAACGTAATTGTGATTGTACCACTAGGAGGGTTTCACTAACATTCATAAGTTTGTATTGGACCTTTTCAAATGTAAACACAAATTAATGCAAATTAATAAAACATGCTATGTCCATGCAAAATAAATTCTGTGTAATCATAGTCTTACAAACATAATTATAGATGCATAGACAGAAGGCAACATCCAGTTGAGTTTTACTTTATAACTACCCATTTGTTTATTTCACACTATATGTAATTCCGTAATTACATAAGATCCGTATCTTATAGATAAACAGATGGAAGAAGGGGGTACTTTTGTTTCGTTGTTTTATTTATATTTCAACGAGAAAAAGTTTAAAGAGGTACGATGCTCCGTATAGGTTTCCCTAATTTTAATGCGAAATTCAATAGGGATATCAATATAGGAATTAAAGATCCCTCTGTTTAATTAATTTCAGTCCATTTATATTTATTTTAGGCTAGAGACTTCTTTAGTTCACAAATACTTTAGTTTTGTGAATATATTAGGCTAAAGTGTACTCGTATAAATCTTCTCGATATACACGACAGTTGTTTTTAAGTAAGTCCGGGAAGAGTAGAGATCTTTCTTCACTTCTACGATTTACTAAAAAGAACTAAGCTCGCTTTTGTAGATACAATCATGCCTTATAAATAAAATTTAAATGTATAATAAAGATAAAGATTATGACGATCTCACCATAATGTTGTATAGTTCGTGAAATCGCTAGAGTAAAATAACTATCGATTTGCAATGGAATGCGAAGGCTCGCTATCGACACGACATAACACTGTTGCGGATAAGATACACCTCGCTAGACCTAAAGGGGAATACTTATTAGGTATTGGAATTAATACTTTCGTGAATGGTAATCATATTTATTAATGTGTCTGATCTCTTACCTTTAATGAACATTTTAGGTAGAAATGTGTAATAAGGATGAACTCAATTAGAAAATAACCTACTAAGTTAAGATCAAACTAGTAAAAGCTAGGACAGGTTTTGTAAACTGTAAACAAGATAAACACTTCTCAAATGTAACAGGTTAAATAATCCAAGGTTCGAAAGTTCATCTAGATTTGTTTGTTTTATTATAAAGGTAGGTAGTCTTTACACGTCATCATAAAATATTGCATAAAGGTTACTAGATCTTTCATCTAGAAACACTTTTTAACGTCAGTGAAGCTGTCGGTAAAAGTTAGTATTTATTACATAAACATCAGTACAAAAATTCTTATATTAAAAGCATAACTTTTTAGGTTCCTAGAAAACTGTTCGTAATAAAGACAGAGTAAACTTGCCAGAGTAATGCCCTGAGATGATGAGTGTTTTACAGTATTTTATCTTTCTTACTGCGAGGATCAGCACTCATAAAATACATAAAAGAAAAATTATCCACTTGCCGTATCATTCCTTTATCTTATTTATTGACGTCTCCGCCCACAAACTTAGACGCTGTGTTAGACTTTTAACGATTTCTCATGATTTAACTGTCTTCTATATAGCCTGTTAATCCGGGACTACTTTTTGCGCCTTCGTGCAACCGGTCAGAACCGTTCATGTTTTATTGCAACTATAAAACATTGTAAATAATTTCACTTAAGATCTACCTCACATTGCACTAATGCATTGAAGCTTTTTGTACGCAATCTCATTGCTCACTTTAATATAGGTGTGATTGTTAGAATGCAACATAATGGGGTCCGTATGAATAATGAAGCCTTACATAAGGTGCATTTATTTGCCATTGTGCAGTCTATTCTTTTATGAAAGTATTCTATCAGTAAATCTAGCTTTCCTAGTACAAGCTCTGCTTAGTTTGAAACTGTGTGTTAGATTTCCGAAAAATATTATTATTATTTATAAATATGCAAGTTTCGCAATGCCGTATCTTATCATACTAAGTAGTGAGAGTCAATTCAAGTCAAGAAACTACATAGTTAACGCATAATATTTTATATTATTAACTAGTATTAATCTTCTTATCGCTTCTAGCTAAGTTATTGTCTGTATCAAAAGTGGGGTTCACCCGCAACACATTGATATCGACTTCGACACCTAAGCCATTACGCTACCGCTTTTAACTCTAAAAAACACAACAAAAGTAAGTTTAGCATCGGTTGCGTGAATGTCTAGTTTGTCAATCATTTCAGGTATCCTCGGGACCAGTAATGTTATTTGGTTAAAGGCCCTGTCATTGTTTATTTAACAACAACAGAAGGCAGAAATGTCAGAAGATCAGAATGTGGCAGATTTTACAATTACATGGTGATAGGTTGAGTTAGTTAAGGCACGAAAACGTAAGAAACAAACATATCCATATTAACATTTATAATATTAGGATTTAAACTCATACATCATTCAGTAAAAAATGTACCATGTAAGCTCATTTGCCAAGTAATCACATTACTCAACTAGAAGGTACAAATACACCATAAGGTGTCGGCCAATAAATTGTACTCTAATGTAGAGCCCAAGGCATGAATTCTTAAACACGGTTATATCGACTGCGGCATCCATACAGGTAATTTATACGACAGCATTCATTTTTCTGACTTATCTTGTGGGATTTCAGTGATTGTAAATTGCATTAAACGGATTTGTAAAGGGTTTTCAAGGTTGAGCCCGCGTCGTTTATTTGCTTAATCGTGAGAATAGGTGGTACGATAACTATGTTTTCGTTAGTCCGATTAATGTCAAACTTGATTACCTCAGTTTAGATATTATTAGTTTCTTAACGTTTGTGTATTACTTGTGGGTGTAAGATTAAAACCAAGTTAATTTTAAAGGGTAACGTTTTACTTACTAACCAAGTTTTCTTTACTGTAACGAACATTGTTATTGTGTGATTAGTTGCATTTACAACGTTTTTAGTATCCTCACTCATTACTGACTATGTAAAACGTTTTTGAAGTCAACCGACTCCTATTTCTAGTAGTGAAATGAAAATGTGTATATGAAGTTTGGTTGACAATGAGTGCTAGATGGGCCTCTGCAGTGACTATCAGTAAATGCCCTAAGTTTGGGCCCATATGATTCGTTTTGAAAAATCTAACAGATTCTTTGGTAACGATGGTCTGGTAATGGAGCCAGGACTGTCTAGTGGAACGTTGCTTTTTTTATGTACGGTCAGTAATTGATAACAGGTTTAAGGATTCTATATGGGCTGAAAGAAAATAAATGTTTGCTGCTGATGATTGACATATTGTAAAATTACGTTGAGAATCAACCAGTTCGGTGTTGCTAACAAAATAAATGTGTTCAATTATTTCTACTTTGTCCTTACTGTGATAGATTAAAAATATGTTCTTCTGTTGTTACAGTGAGATGGCGCGGTGGAAAGCGCTCCAGCATGGACAATCAACAGCTTGGATTCTTCTCTTCTGCATTCTGCAAGTGGCGAGAGCAACGCCTGGTAAGTGCACGGTCATTTCTAAAATATTAAAATTGTTGTTATCATCCCCATAGTTCACCCATGAGCAAGATAATTCATTCTACATAGTCTTCATGCAAAACTATGATTAAACTTTCTGTCCAGTCTCTTCGTTTCTTCAGACTCTAATTGTTAATAATAGCGGTTAAAGTATGAAATTGCCATTGTATGGTAATAGATATTTTGAATTGACATAAAACCTGCATGGTGTGAGATTTTCAAGTGAAACTTTTTTCCTATGATACTTATGAGGTTTTTTTTTAAAAATGTGCAAGATTCGATTTTCGACTTTCAATTGTTTTTTTATTCGGAAAGACGGATGCTTTGAAAATCCGAGTCATTTTTTGAATACGAGTTCTGACGCGGAACTAACGTCAACGCTGCATTTGGAAAGGAGACTGGCTAATGAACGCACTGTGCGTTTTTTGTTTAAACGCTTCCGTAATGGCAACTTCGACTTGAAGAACGAACCACGTGGAAGACCGCCTACACAAGTAAATAACGCTGAATTAAAGGAGATGGTGGAAGCCTATCCGAGTGAAACTACCCAGGAATTAGCGGCATAGTTTAACGTTACCCTACCTATAATACGAGTATAGACTCATTTATATCAAATCAATTAGATAAAAAAATATCAAAAATGGGTGCCTCATGATTTGACTGATCTGCAGAAAGAAATGCGTGATGTGACTTGTGTTGCCTTATAGAATTGGTACAGAAATGAAGGAATTGGATCGAATTGTGACATGTGACGAAAAGTTGATTGTATAGGATAACCGTAAGCGAAAAATGTAGTGGCTGACCCCAGGTCAAACGCCGCAACAGTGCCCTAAAGCCAAACTTACCAATAAAAAAGTAATGGTGACTGTTTGGTGGTCTCTTCATGGAGTTAATCACTATAGCTTTCTCAGGTCTGGTCAGGCAATAACAGCAGATGTTTACGGTACCGAACTTCGAATAATGATGATGAAACTGGCAGTGAAACATCCCTGACTCGTGAACCGATCTTCACCATTATTGCTCTATGATAACGTAAGACCTCATACTGCACCCAAAACCGTTGTAACTCTACAGGAGCTGCAGTTAGAAACCATACATACCATCATCCGCCATACTCGCCAGACCTTGCTCCATCGGACTACCATTTTTTTCGTGATTTGGTCAATTTTCTACGTGATAAAAAAAATATTACCAGGGGCCAGTACAAAATGCTTTCATACCATTTGTTGAATGTAGATCCCCAGAGTTCTATCGTAAAGGCATTAATGAACTTCCGTTTAGATGGCAGCAATGTATAGATAATGAGGGTAAATATTTAAATTTAATAAATATATTACATCTTAGATTAAACTAGTTTTATTTTTTTATACAAATCGGCAATTTCATACTTTAACCCCTCATATTACTAAAATAGAATATAAATATTGTCAATAAACCAGACAGCGTATTATCTATTAATCTGCTCGACAAACACATAGAAAGAATAAAAAGTTTCTGCTATAAACAGTAACATGATTGTCTATCTGTGTTAGCAAATGAATAAGTAGTATTAGTTTTCCATACATAACAAACAATTGTAAAAACATTGACCATAACACGATCAATTCATTAATCGTGTTTATGCTCATCAATGATACTCCATTGAACTACCTATTGTGTTTACAAATACAAATTGTTAAATGGATACAGTTATCGAAGCTTTACAGCGTCATTCAATAACCTTCGTATGCTATGCACTGACGTATGTAATTATTGTTAAAACTTGAATTGCCTTCGAAAAGTTGATATTACATTTTTTACAGGATTTGCACAAAATGCTTATACAATACTTGAAAACTGACAGAATGTGACATTGTAATGTTAAAACTGTTAACAGCATTATTTTCAGATTGCATGTAAACAAAAAGAATGGTATAACATTAAAACTTTTTGATCGATTGATAATCGATATTGTTAACGAATAGAGGTCTAATTAATTGTTTCCTTGATATGCATCTGTTTCTATTCTACGCTTACTTTGTGCAAACAGGTTTTTTTTGTTCCATCGTCAATCTGACGTCGAGTGCGAGTCTACGAAAGCAATTATAAGACCATCGCTTTTTTTTTTAAATCACTAAATTATCTTAAAGTGAACATGGACACTTCATAAAAAAAGTATTGCTCGAAAACACGTAACTTTTAAAATATTATGTAACAAAATTAATTAAATGTTTCGAGTTGGAAAGTAAAGAGGATGTTAGCTTTCACCCAGCAGGGCAGAACTTATTGATACAAAACATTTTAACTAATGAACTAATAGCTTTTATGTTAAAACTCGTTAGTTAAAGTAGTCAACAGTTAGTTTATTCAGAACAAATTCCAAATTAATTGCTCAAAAGCAAGAACGTACGAGCTACAAGAATTCGCCGTTCCACGAAAACATGCTACGGACTGTGTTTTCTAATTGGAACAAACACATATAAGGGCAAACGTGTTTTCCTTTACGGGACCTAAAATATTATAAGCTCACTGGCACTAATTAAGACTGTCTTTTATAGTTACCCCTTACTAGTTATCTTTAAGTTTTTCATATACATATGTTGTGATGTTATAAGCAGGTGCACTACACCAGAACCAGTTGTAAATAAAAATCAGTATATACTTATTTACAAATTACGTTAGAAACACTAAGATACAGTGTTTCTTCTCAATAAATTTCTCTTACTTTACATATCAATATCTAGTGCACCTAGTTACACATTTCAGCACCACCTTAAGGTAGACTGGGAGAAAATGTCTGTGGCATTAAGTCCGCCATTGTACAACCCACACTTATGCATAAAGTATAAAAAACAAAACGATCCAGCTGTGTCTTCGATGTATTTAGTTAGTTTTAAATTTTTTAGTCTAATTTAATAGTCGGCGTTAAGTACTTTTAATAGTCTTCATAAATCGACAGACCACACACTGTTATATAATTGCTGCTTTCTGATCGGAATATATTATATTAGAATAGCGTTTTACCGTTTATATCTAGGTAAACCTAGTGTGTTGAGTTGTCTTTAATAAATAATAAGTAAGTAAATAAATAATTGATGCTTTATATAATATGGTACAATAGTGAATAATGAGACACGGTAATAATATGGTAGATGACTGATGATGACTGAGTAGTATCTTTTTTTAACGTCAAACGTCATTTTTGTACCAGGTATTATTTCGTGACGTCATACCTAGATATTGTCAAATCATTTAAATTTAATGTTGATATATAGATATGTAATAAATTAAGATTAAATTGATAATGGAGGACAATTCACTCTCTACTTTAAGATGTTACATTTAATGATGCAGGCGAAATATTTTTTTTAAACCGAGGAATCTCTTCTATTACTAGTAAGCTCCTTATTTAGGGGCTGATCATTTAATTAAATTCAAAATGAGGAGTTTCTCAATTCGATTGTATTTTTAATTTGATGCTTTTCATTTGATTTAGATTTGAATTTTACGGAAAGGGCATACTTCCCGATTAGTCTCATTTGAATTTAAAGCAAAACAGAATTAAAAATAAAAATAATACCCTTAAAGAACAAAGAATACGATTTTTACAATTCATGATGTAGACGTATAAGTCGGTAATACTTTTTCGCAAGTTAATTATTAAGAGTCATAAATATGATAAGTTTTAGTTTTTTATGTTTTTATTATTATTATTGCGTAATATAATAGGCGTTTGTCTTTTAAGTCTCTCTAATGGAAGAGACAAGTAAGCGAAGATGTTGCACGCATATACCAATGAAACCTTATTACTCTGCTCTTAAACGCTTCAGGTTTTTATATTTTCATGAGTATTTCCCAGCATTGAAGTATTGTATTTTTTTAAGTACTTCAAGGCCAGTAAATAGTTTTCGCAACAAAAATCTGTATCACTATTAAACATTCAGTAGGCACGTCACGATTCACAGTTACATTATCTGAAACAATTTAATAGGAAAACCAACAGCAGCATTGCAACCTTTAATTAATCGTGCGGAGGCCTAACGAGCTAAGGTCTCGTGGACCTGTCGATTCCTTTATTTATTACTGTTTGTTTCTGTGAGAGTATATTGTTGTCTAGCTGAACTCATCTTTATTTTAATCTGAATATAGTGTTGCAAATTCTACCGGGAATAAAAATATTCTGCTTTGTGAAGATATTTTTTCAAGATGTTATTTTCATTTCCTTTGCAGGTCCATGTGAAGTTGAGACGGGACAATCCAGCATTATAGTTGATATAGAAGAGAGTAGAGGAGATCGTAAGTTGTGAATCAATTATTATAACATTTCGCATTGAGTAGAGAAGAGTAGTTTAATAATAATGGTCTCCACCTCTATATCGTAAATTGACTCTTTTGGCGGTTTATGAGAAAGGGTAGGAAGAATATTAATGGGAGTTACTCATAAGTAGTCTGTCTGCACAATGTTGATAGCGTATTTTATGATTCAAATAGCAGTTATAAGTCTCTTCGTGATGAAAGCTAATAAAAAGCTAAAAGCAATGGTTTCAGATGTTACATCGACAACTGCTGCAGGTTTACCTATGGACTATGTGGACAACTACTTTGTAATATACAGTTAAATGTTATAATGTCCCTCGCTCATTTAGAAATCTTGCTTGAATCGTCTAACAGTCAGTAATACCGTCGTATTATTCTACCTTAAAAAAAACAAAGATCGATTATGATCACCTAACTGTAACCTCTAATAATGTGCTTTCGTTCATTATTTGTTTACAGAAGTTAACCAAAGTACAGTACCATCGGTGTTACCTATAGTAGGAGAGCCAGATGTAGACGTGGAGTTATCCACAGTATTTCCCAAGGGTCCCACGGTGTTTCAGCTAGATGGAAAACGATTGCAGTTGCTTCAACCGCTTGATAGAGATGCGGATAACTTATCACACATGGTGTTTCAGGTATGGTATTAAACTTCAAGATATTCTTCCCGTGTCGTAGGTAGTTATAAGCTGAAGCAAGAAATTAATGACCGCTAGTTCTCAATGCGAAAACGTACTACATATGTCTCTCTATTGTCTATTCTATTCTAGTCTATTGCCGGAAGATCTATCTTCCGTCAATAGACCGTTGGAGTTATAGGAATACAAACTATTGCATACATTCCCTAATCCCCACCTGTAAAAGCAATATCCTTTCCCGCTTAGAAACATTCCCTTCTTAACAATTTTGCTTTTCATTGTACTCCTAATTTTTTAATTCTCAAATACCTTAAACTGTCCGTTTGATGGTTGCAGGAGGCAAGCCTATTAGGTACATGGGACTAAAGTTACTGTAGGTAAAATGTGAGCGTTTAATACGGCTCTGCCTATCCCCTCGGGGATACAGACGTGATTATATGTATAAGGTATATTATTGAGGATCTTCAAAATAAACCATAAATTGTTTCTCTGAAAATACAAAGTTCTGTTTTATTTAATACGCCTTTGCAATAGGTATAACAACAATTATCAAGTTATGACAATTACACTTCTATCTCACCTGAAAATACAAAGAAACGACATTTAAAGTTCACTAATATCGCTTCCTCAATCGTATCCTTCAGTTTATCTCTCTACAATTTTTTATAACAATAAAATGCACAAAATAATCTAAGCGTCATCCGCCATTGAATCATAGTTCACATGTCAACTTTTGGATAATGGCTTTGTGGTAGAGTGTAACCACAATTTCGCCAATGTCACGTGTCACTTCGATGCGCGAAATTCAAATTATTGAAATGTCATTCATTTCATTACATATGTATACAAGTTTTGGGAACTAGCGGTTATTATTCTGCCTGGCAATATCGAGAATATTTCCCCTTCATGAAATATACTTTCAAATTATGAGAAAAAGTATTTTAAAAAATTTAAATGAGAGTTCCTAAGAATTATTCTATTTAAAACGATCACAAACTTCCAAAGTTTGGACGCTTTCGTAATCATAGCTATTTCTAACATGAAGGATGCTTATAACTCATGAGTAAAATAACCAGCCTAACATTTATTACAAAACAAAAACGCATAAATCAGTATTTGTTTCTCACTATTAAATATTTCCTAATAAATTAGTTAATATGACCGATTATTTATGTATTTTAAAACATATAAAAAATCTTATCTTAGTTATTTGTCATATCTTTATTAAGATCATTAACAAAGCAAAGGCGGTAGCCAAAACTATTAAAACCAAAATCAGTCTTATCTTTGCTAACTAAAGTTTAAAATAGCTTGATAAACTTTTTTAGACTTGCACATCCATTGGTCAAAATTTATATGACCCCTCGGGCTAATGCGATTGTTATTAATGTTTGTTCAAAGTAATTTGGTCTATAATTAATGAGGTGTTTCGCAGCTGGTGTGTCAAGTGAAAGCTACAAAGAAGCGACGAACCATACCTGTGATAGTAAGAGTATCGGACATCAATGATAATGCACCCGTTTTTCAAGGCACTCCCTACGAGACTAGTGTGTCTGAGGTAAGTTAAAAATGTCAGCTCAAGAAACATATACGAGACATAAATTTACTTAATCTTACTATTTGATTCTAATTACTGTCTTGTGATGTCCCATTTTATCAGAAGGTTGCGTTGTTAAAAACCTTTAAAAACATTTAGAGTAACTGAAAAATGAAATGCACCTTAAGAGTACATACATTTTAGGTACCTATCTTTTATTTGGTACAAACCATGTCTAAGTTCAGTTTAAACTACTACTACCTATTCCGATGATTTCGTGCTTTTAAGGAATTATTATACCGCAGTATCGTTTTTTTAAATCATTATTCGTACAACAAGATGTCAGACCAATGATACATTCCTGCTCCTGATTTTATGCATAGTTAGTTATATATGTATAAACATATATCGCTAGAGGTAACTCTTATTATATATCTCAGTTGGTTCCGCTCGGCACCTTAATCTTCGACGGCATCAGGGCAGTGGACATCGACGCCGGAGTCAACGGTTTATCGGAATACTTCATTATACCAGGAGATAATGCGACTCTAGAAGAAGCTCATGCTGTCGATGGATACGGCTACTTTGCTATACCGCTACCCCACCAAGGACAGGTTACAGTCAACAGGACTTTGGATTATGAACGCACGCAGAAGTATCTAGTCACTATTCTTGCTTCTGTAAGTTTTTTCTTAGGAAATAAGTAATAATTGCTGCTTATGGTGGTATGCTAATATGACCTGAATGCAGGTCTACTCAATAACAATTTCGTCTTATACTTTATCAAATATTAAGATGTTTCCTCCTTTCGTCGCGAATCGAACTCGCTGACTATTCGTCAGCGCCGTCAGTATTCTCTATTCCATTCTCAACTTACCCATTTCCTCCTCCTACCTGACATCCTCATTCCAATTTCTGTGTTCCAACCACGATAGAACCCTCCGTTCATCAAACAATGCTCTTCTGTTATGCCCCACTCATACTTCCGCTTGTGTCCACTCCTCGGTCCTAATCCAATCCGTACTCCTCTTGAACGCTCTCCCTCTCAAAATCAGGATAACACCCAGCCCCCTCTCCTTCAATATGGCAGTTCGAGCTCGCATTCTGGATACCCTAGCAGATTCAGTACAACCTTAAAGTTTTATATATTATTAATATGTAGGTTTATGTATGTATGTAACTGTGTAAGTATTTATGTATGTGTATGTATTTGGTACGTATCTATGTATATTAATCGCATTGTTTCGTGTAATAATTTTCTTTTACTTCACATATCAATATCTAGTGCACCTAGCCACACATTTCAGCACCACCCTAAGGTAGACGGAGAAAATGCCTGTGGCATCAAGTTCGCCATATTACAACTCATACTCGGCATAAAGAATTAAAATAAAATACAATAAATAATATTGACCGTAGATCTCTTAACTTTCTTCAAATATTAGTAGTCTTTAGTACAGAGGCTCCTACGATATGAAGAAACTCCGTAGTAGTACAATACAGTAATGATTAACATTTAATATTTGTACAACGATGATTGACAAATCGACTGAAAGAAGAGAGTAGTGTTTGTATTAACCTACTAGCTGATCCCACAACTTCGCCCTATTTATCGATCATCTAGCTATCGCACAAGAAGAATTGTAAAAAAATTATAGTTTTAAAAAACACGCTTTCTATAGAAAACCAAACTAAAAAATAGAAAATAAATTTGAAAAAAAGCGTTGGGTGCCTGTTGTCAATAGTAAAGAGCACCCCACGCTTTTTTTCAAATTTATTTCTATTTTTTAGTTTGGTTTAACTAGTTAAGTTAACTTAGTTCAACTATATATATTTAATTAGTGTATTGTCATCGATATATCTAAAAAGTTTGAACGAATTCTGACCGTTTAAAGTCAGTCAAAATCACATCCAAAGGAGTCGGTTACAGACATACAAACAAACATACAAGTGCAACTAATATAAAGCGTGTAAAAATCTGTTTATTCTGCAAATAAACGTTTAATCTCCTAAGTAAATGTTTTCGTTTGAAGATTATATCGTATTAGGTAATTCATGGCCCTGATATTACAGGATCGTTCCCGAGATACGAAACGACGTATGTCCAGTACCACAACATTAACAGTGCACGTGCAGGACGATGATGATCAGGATCCTTCCTTCATTTACAAGGGATGCACTCTACATGAGGGAGCCTGTTTTAATCCGGAGTATAGTAGTTTTGTAAGTAGAAATTTGACTTGGTCATGTCACATATACCGTCTAGCTGATATAATTCACCAAGATTCTTTCGTGTTCACTTTATCTCAAGTATTAAAAAAAACAGTATTAGTAAACGGTGTATTATGCAATTTTTATATGCCTACATAAGCTATAAATTAACACGATTTAACATAATTAGAGGAAATTGCATGCTGCCATTATATTTAACAGGTAGCCTATAAAAAGTTACAATGTAATTTATTACTTTACTGTGTGTAACAGCATACCTTTACGTTCCTTGTATAGATTTTAGGGCCTTACCATACTATTTTTAAGACCTAACATTGTAATTAACACAAAATAGCGCCTTCTTAGAATATGGCGGTATTTTTTGGCCCTTGTATTAATAAAGTTTCAATTCTTTCATTGACAGGAAGACTTGAAATTTTGAGCTTAAGTTTTATAAATTTCTTAGATGACAGTGTGACATCGTGATAATACGACTTCGAAAGATAGACATTTTCTGCGTTTTATCAATTTAGGAATTTTAATTAGCATATTAGAGAAAATTGGGCTTTTATAACTTGATGATGATTTTAGTTGCTCAAAAATATAGACATTATTTTTACCTTGACACTATTAAATTTGTCTAATTCAATAAGGTGTAGTAAAAGTTAAAAAGTTTTTTTTGCTACTCAATCACAATCACTATAAGATTTATCACAAATCCACAGGTTAATAGCGGCGTTCTAGCCGGAATCCTCACCATCGAACCAGAGAAGATCCAAGCAGTTGACATGGATACTCTAGATGCTAGAATACGGTACAGCATCGAGAGCGGAGAACCCGACTCATACAACACCTACTTCGCAATAGACCAAAATACGGGAGCTGTTAGACAACTTGTTCCTGTTGACACTACCATAGCCAAGAAATTCCAATTAGTCATAAAGGTACGTAGTCAAAATATAAGCCACTACTGTGGTAAAGCTTAACTAGAATATAATGTATTATAAATTATCTGAACTTTATTAAATCAGTTTATATTAAACTTTGTATATCCATACTCAAAGAAGTATCGCGTTAATCACAATAATAAAAAATAAATAAGAACAAAATTAAGTTTGAAAACTACATTCCGGAAAATCTTCTAAATATCGTAATAGAGTGATCTAATGGGCTATTCAGTAAGTAAAGTTAAGATAAGCATTAACTTTGGAAAGCGTTATTGAGGCTTCAGAGACTCCAATTCAAATAATTGAGGGACCCCTCCAAAGTTGTTCAAGCAACTGAACTTGAATGCTTATTACAGATATTGAGCATATGTTTACGGAGAGATCACTAAAATCTCTTTCATGCCTGCTTTGTTGGTATTACTACCGCTGAACAATTCCTCAGATGTTTTATTTTTCCTTGGGTTCTTATAGGTTGTCCACTCATAGGACAACTTTGATAAGGCAAGGTTCTTGTCGTCCATTGATTCTTATTAGTTTGCAAAACACTACTTAGCTCAAAAGGGTCTTAATCAAAATAGCTCCATCGTATGTGCTTGTACATAGATTGTACTTTTTTGTTTATAGGCGGAAGAAGTTAGTGAAGCTCGGCGTTTCACAACAGCAAAGCTAACGATTACAGTACGACCGGTAGATGCTAGTCCCCCTGTTGTTGAAGCATCATCGGATGAAGGAGTTATCGAAGAAAATTCACCAAAGGGGACCAACGTTGTGGATTCAAGTGGAAACCCCATTAAATTAACGGTTTCGGATCCTGACTTGGTAACTATACTGAATCCATCTTCATTCGTTCTTTTTTTACAATCTTAAAAAATCCCCTGGTTTTAAGTGAAAAATCGTATTAAAATTTAGCAAGCTTGCGTAGAGATGAACAGTGCATACAGGTCAAAATTTTAAAATGCTTTTATCTATATTAGATGGGAACTTTGCTTTTGCAATGCTGTAGGAAGTTTTTGGTGCATCAGGCATTATTTCTAAAATAATATGTAAGTTGCCGGTAATAATAATGTTAAAGATCCATTTAATTATTTTTGTATGAATTTTTATAATAGGGAAAATGGACTTACTGTTTTATCACTCGATTTAGGTACAAGTAACTCAAAAACTTGACAACATTAACGAATAAAATATTTAAAATGTATGCGTTTCTGATTTTGACTATTTTTTTTTATTTTGATTACATAGAGTCCAGGTGACCCAATACCAAACTATACATTTGAGTTAACAACGAACTTCTTCGACGTAGATAAAGACGGATATTTAGTTGCCAGCGATGAAAAACTCGACAGAGACCCTCCTAATACTGGCAAATTTAGATTCCAGGTAAGTTTTTAGATTATATGAATAATCAATTGAATAAGATATAAACCTGACCATAATTGTATTGTAAAAGAAAACCACAAATTAAAACTCGCTAAAATCGTTAGGTATATTCGATATTTTTATAAAAAAAGGTGTAATAATCAATTTTTTGAAGGACACCGGCAATGACATATTTTCTGACATTATCTTTAACAATCTGAAATATCTTTAAAAAAACAAAAGTACAAAATATTTTTAATTCAGGTTGTAGCCCGTGAAGCTAATGGTGGTGCAGCATCGGCGCCGTTCTCTTTAGCAGTGCGACTGTTGGACCAGAACGATAACGCACCGGTTATACCCAAAACCCAACCAATTATTATTCCCGCCAGCTTGGAACCTACAGCTGTGCATAAGGTTAGAAGATATACTCGTATTTAAGAACTCGTACATAGTTGTTATATACATATATATGCATAGTATAAACGAAGCTCAGAAAGTTGATGGCTGATACTGCATGAAATTGATTATAAACCCTGACTTTTCTACGCCATTGTTACTGTCATATGTACGTTTGCAGGTGGAAGCGATCGACATCGATGAGGGTGAGAACGCACGCGTTACATACGCCATCTATCATGTGTCTAACAATGGCGGCAACAAGTTCACTATTGACCCTAACACTGGAGTTATATGTAAGTTGCACCATTTCTATTAATACTTGTCTACGAACATCTCTAAAGGTATTTTTTGTTGATGTACTGTGGCTCAAATACACTATGATAAGAAATGTGCAAATAAATTGCCGGCTCAAGTCATCCAAATAACTTTGTACCTTAGTATGTGCTACCCCAAGTTAGGTTCCTGTTAAAGCTCTATCTTGTAGACATGCAACAATGAGCACGGTTATAATTGACAATACGATACTATAGCATATTGAAAAATTGCAAACAACAGGCAAATTTAGTTCCCTACTACTACTACTACTAAATTGTATGTGTCTACTCAACGATCAAAATAGTTGGTATTTAAGAAAATCTCTATCCTTTATTACCTCCCCATAAGTGCACCTAACTCATTCATTCTCTGTATCGCCCAATCGGTGAGAGCAGGGATTCACGGTAGAGAATGCCTTATGAAGTTATAAAATAAAATAAATGAATAAATATCTAAACGTGGTTTAAATACTTTTTTAACATATGGCTGATTTGAGCAAGCCGAAAATAACTTTTTCATAGTGCACTTGTTGTCACAGTGTATGGAAATGAGTCGTGTGTTATTTTTTATTTGTGTTTAGCACTGTGTTAGCATGTAGCACTTTGGATAATACTTTTAACTATTCTTCTACCTGTGTTTCATTCTTTATTGAATGTTAGAGGTTGTACAAATGAAGTTTTCCTAGTTATTCATGTAATATATGAATTAATCTTCATTATAGTCTTTACTTCAAATACGATGTTCGACTGTATAAAAATTAAATTATCTAAACATGTTTTAACGTGATAAGGTTAAATTTTATTCATATTTTAAAAGTAAGCATGTTGACGTTCAATATGTGACGTTGACTCTAAATGCTTTTATTATTATAATTAATATGCATGTATTAATTATAGCAAAACATTAGATTTACAATTAATTCATTTTATAAACGATACTGTTACATTTAGTAGTGTTTCATTTTCAAATATAGATTACCTATATGTCTAATAGTAGTTTAAAATGCATACTATAAGTACATAAATTAGGACCTTAGACAGAAATATTCAAAAAATCTCTTTTTCAGCAGTATTCGCTTTGTTCTATTGGGTTTAGCATAGTTAAGAGAGTCACTGTGTTTTCTTATAATTGCACGTTTTTCAAAGCACACAACTACCATCTATGTACACTATTTGGGGTTAACTGTATTTTTAATATTTTAGATCATTAGGTGCGTTTAAACTTACTAATAGTAAAATGACATTTTCACAGCAAGTACAGGTCGCCTACAAACAGGGGAACAATACAGTGTCACTGTCAGAGCGACTGACGCTAAAGGCCTCAGTTCTCAAGGCATCGTGGAGTTATCCGTAGCTCCAGGACCAAACACTCGACCACCGCAGTTTTCGACCCGAGACTACTCTGCGCCCGTCTCAGAGGGCGCTGCTATCAATTCAACTGTCATTACTGTCACTGTAAGTACATAAGGGCATATCGCTTTCAAGGTCTTGTTATAGCTACTATATTATGCAACAGTTGTGATTTGAGTTCCACATCGGGCTTTTACGTTTTCGCCTTTCTTGTCCAATTTTTATTATTCCTCTTTATTTATTATAGAAATTCTTTAAAAATTACAAGGACTCCAAAAAGTGAAAAATGCTCATATTGACGATATTGCCATGACGATATTCTGCTTAAATATCATTCAAGGCTTGCACTATTCTTGTCACAATATAATAGGGAAAACATTGGTTGTTGTTTGTAAACAATAAACACCGCCTAATCAATAGTAAATAAAATCCTAAATCCTGCAGGCGTTTCGTAAATTTAATAATTCTTCAACACCAGGAATCATAGCAAAAAATAATGGTTATTGATTATTTTTTCAGGCTAAAGATCCCGAAAATGAACTTGTCACCTACTCAATTGTGTCTGGTAATGATCTACGTCAGTTTGCGATCGGTGCCAACACGGGCATCATCACCGTCATCAGAAGTTTGGACAGAGAGGTGCTGACACGGTATCAGCTGGTAAGATGACTTCACTATATCTATATATATAAAAGAAAGTCGTGTTAGTTACACTATTTATAACTCAAGAACGGCTTTACCGATATGGCTGAAAATTGGTGAGGAGGTAGCTTAGAGCCAGGAGACGGACATAGGATACTATTTATTCCGAAAAAAAAAAAAAAAGTTTGCACGAACTTTGCTTTACTCGGAGACGCCACGTTATTATACTTGGAATGCTTCATCGAAGAATTTTCAAAGACGGAAGATTTTTTCTAAGAAAAAAATTAACTTACTAAATTCGAAAATCGGCTTATTTATTGCCTTTAAGGCGGAACAGAGTTCGCCGGGTCAGCTAGTTTATTATATTATCTATAATTTTTTTATAGAGTCCAATTACCAGATCAACTCTAGAGCAATTTACCATAGTTCTTAAGAACAAATAAACATATATTTACCAAATTTCATGATTAAGTTATTTGTGAAATTCTTACACTTTATATATCAGATGGTGAAGGCCGAGGACCCAGGCAAGTTAGCGAGCACAGCAACCGTTAACATCAAAGTCACGGACATCAACGATAACAACCCGAAGTTTGACGAAGATTCCTATTTGTTCAATGTCAAAGAAGGTAAAGATCTTAATATTTTAAATTGCTCTGCCAAAGTTTTAATCTATGGTTAGGTTGCCTGAAGTATTAAGCGCTTACAGAAATAATGTCTAATAACTGTTCTTTAAAATTTTATTATTATTAATCTGGATATCCAGTTCGTTCTTTTCAACTCAATAAACTTTGATTATTTTCGTTACCTATTTTACTAATTTGGGAAATACTGGCAAGCCATTTTATTATTTCAAGTAAATTAAATACATCGAATTTAGTTATAATTTGAGTTAACTGAAATAAGTTAAACGAATTTTAAAGTAATTTTTTCTCCTTGATCGGACCATTGGTCGGTGCGTCTCTTATTTATAAATACCCTTAAATAATTGTAGGAGCGGCAAATGAATTGGTAGGCTACGTACACGCGACTGACACGGACGAGGGGGTGAACGCCTTGATCAGTTATAGCATACCGACGCACTTGCCCTTCGTGATAGACAACTCCACCGGCATGATCAGCACCAGCACTAAGCTCGACTATGAACACACCAAGGTAAACATTATACAATTTCTTGTGACTTGTGAGGAGTGATTTCGTGAAAAGAAATGAAAAAGACGTAACAAGAAACCAGGAAGCGCGCTATTTATGACAGATGTATGTACTACATAATATGTATACACACATGTATATCATATGCGGCTATTGAAAGTATTGCTATTTTTTTTATATCAAATAGATAACTTCATTTAACATTATTGTTAATTCTAATCTATGTTCATAGAAATAGTTTTATTTATTTTGTAAGCGCAATAATTGGGAACTTCGATAATCGCTGATTTTCAAACGGCTGAAAAGGTTTTCTTGCGTTATATCTAAGAGTACTACTACCAATTATGAATAAAAAATAAAAACATCAAAATCTGTCTTGCCGTTTATGAGTTATGATACCATAAAGACACACAGCTTTGTACAAAGATAATAAAATTCATAAGACTCCTCCTTTTTGTCAGGGGTTCAGAAAAAAGGAAAGAAACAACAGACTGCCATATATTGTTGTCTACTTTAGTAACGTTCTTTTTAAATTCGTCTATTTCAGGAATACGAGTTCGTAGTAACGGCTACAGACGGAGCGATAGACAAGCGACTGGGCACCGCGTCAGTGACGGTGCAAGTACAAGATATACCCGACGAAGCGCCCGTCTTCTCTCAGGCATTATATTCGGTGCACGTACCTGAAAATACACCTAACTACCCTGTTGTTAAGGTTCAGGTTAGTATAATTGAAATTGCTTTACGGCATTCCTTGTCCGAAAATACCGATGTTATTGTAATTACACTATCAGGGATACCATAATTAGGTCAAGACTTGGAAAACGTCACGTAGCTTGTAAGTTTTATATTATTTTGAGATTTTAAAATCACCATTAACTTTAAGTATTATACTTTAATTAATATTTCTAATTCTATAGAATTTTCATACGCCTTGTTTTCTACTATATAATTTATTATTAAGTTCACTAAGTGTGTATGACATTTGAAAAAACTATGCTTCCCTCGTTGTAGGCTGAAGACCCAGATACACTACCAGAGATAACGTACACAATTCTAATGGGAGATACAGAGCTGTTTTCAATAGATCGTAAGACCGGTTTGATTCGTACACTTCAGCCATTGGACAGGGAACTGTCTGCCAGATATGAACTGACTGTCGGCACTGAGGAGAACAACGGACAGGGTGCGGGCGCTACCGCCACCGTAGAAGTTATTGTTGATGTGAGTATATAAATTACTTCTATTCTTTTGAGATACTATGACCCGTCCTTGAGAAGCCTGGCCCGATGGCCGACTGGTTTATCATTTAATACATTAAAGGTCATATACGGAGCTACTTATTTAGGTTCTATGTGCTATGGTGCACCTGTATGGGCCGATAGGGCGACCGTAGGCGCTGTCCGTCGCAAAATGTTACAAGGCCAACGACTTGCACTTATATTTTTGTGTAAGGCATATAGGACGGTTAGCACTGAGGCTTTGCCGGTGTTGGCGGGTGTGCTTCCGGTCGATCTCGAGGTGCAGAGACGTGCAGCCATGTACTATTCAAGACAACAAACATGGAATGCGATTTTTTGGGCGCGCGGGATCGCGGTAAAATTACAAGATTGCTTCAACAGCAGCCCGATGTCTATAATGACCTCATAGACGAATGGCAACAACGCTGGGAGGAATCATCCAAGGGGCGCCATCTTTACCAATTCTTTCCATCTGTTCGCGAACGGTTGTCGAGGATATGACTTGAGGTGGATCACTGTGTCGCTCAATTTCTTACGGGTCATGGTAACTTTAAGAGCAGGCTTATTCATTTAAATTAGTCGAGTCGCCATTGTGTCAATGCTCAACACCTAACTCTCACTATGAACAGTCCTGCTCATCATATCCTCTGGGAATGTAGTCTTTGTATAATGAACGTAATATAATGCTGAATAGCTTGCAGGTGACATCTGGGGCGGTATACTATGGGGATCTTGTGTCAACTAGGGGTGAATTTCCGTGCGTTTAGGCGATTCTGTCATACATATTATAGAAATCAAAACATAGCTCACGTAGGACCCGTAATATTTGTGGCCGTGGGTGCTTCCCTGTTTAAAAAGGGTGTATGCCCATTTTACTTCATTTTGTCTCCCGCTTTACTAAGGAGGGAAGTGGATTTACTGTATTTCCAACTCCTCCAATTTTCTTCTGATTAATTTCGTTGCGGGTTCCAAGACAGTTTAATATCTTCCTGGGACTTCCCGAGTGTCATAACTCGGTGTGTTCGTGGGTCACTGCTGTGGATCCTGGTGTACAGGAGTTACAGTGGTGGGCGTGTGGGTGGGATTAGTCCCAATAAAAAAAAGCCCACTGGTGAGTCGTCCTGACTGCTGAGCCAGAGGTCGTCTCTATCCAGGACGATTAATTGTGTGATAAGCATGATCATTTGTTTCTGTGTATGGGTGTAATTTATCTATAATTTATATATTTAGAAAATAATGTTTATCAGCAGTCTGGATACCAATAGTACAAGCTCTGGGATCAGACTACCGTGTGTTAGATGTGGCAATTGAGGCTATTAGACGTGCTAAAATTCTTAGCGCACATCCCTTTTATTTGAGGTTTGCCAACTTCCTTTTTGACGTCAATCCTCCTCTTTAAAATTTCATCGTATTCAGATAGGACAACGAAAGAAGGTAAATTGAAGTAAAGAAAGGCATAGATAGCTATGGTAACCCGGTGTAATCCCGGTGGTAAACCGATTAATGAAAATTTTGCGATTCGATCTGTGAAAGACTTTTTCCATAGACAAGCGACTGGGCACCGCGTCAGTGACGGTGCAAGTACAAGATATACCCGACGAAGCGCCCGTCTTCTCTCAGGCATTATATTCGGTGCACGTACCTGAAAATACACCTAACTACCCTGTTGTTAAGGTTCAGGTTAGTATAATTGAAATTGCTTTACGGCATTCCTTGTCCGAAAATACCGATGTTATTGTAATTACACTATCAGGGATACCATAATTAGGTCAAGACTTGGAAAACGTCACGTAGCTTGTAAGTTTTATATTATTTTGAGATTTTAAAATCACCATTAACTTTAAGTATTATACTTTAATTAATATTTCTAATTCTATAGAATTTTCATACGCCTTGTTTTCTACTATATAATTTATTATTAAGTTCACTAAGTGTGTATGACATTTGAAAAAACTATGCTTCCCTCGTTGTAGGCTGAAGACCCAGATACACTACCAGAGATAACGTACACAATTCTAATGGGAGATACAGAGCTGTTTTCAATAGATCGTAAGACCGGTTTGATTCGTACACTTCAGCCATTGGACAGGGAACTGTCTGCCAGATATGAACTGACTGTCGGCACTGAGGAGAACAACGGACAGGGTGCGGGCGCTACCGCCACCGTAGAAGTTATTGTTGATGTGAGTATATAAATTACTTCTATTCTTTTGAGATACTATGACCCGTCCTTGAGAAGCCTGGCCCGATGGCCGACTGGTGAGTCGTCCTGACTGCTGAGCCAGAGGTCGTGGGTCGTCTCTCTCCAGGACAATTAATTGTGTGATGACCACAATCATTTGTTCTGTGTATGGTTTATCAGCAGTCTAGTTACCATAGTACAAGCTCTGCCGAGTTTGGGATCAGACGGCCGTGTGTGAGGTTATTAGACGTGCTAAAATTCTTAGCGCACACCCCTTTATTTGAGGTTCGCCAATCTCCTTTTGGACTTCAATGCTCCTCTTTAGAATGTCATCGCTTTCAGAAAGGACAACGAAAGAAGGTAAATTGAAGTAAAGAAAGCATAGATAGCTACCACCTGGTCACTTCTAATCGGGTAATACCGATCTTAACCCGATTCAGGAAAATTTTGCTATTCGATCTGTGAAAGAACTCTTCTGTACGAGTACACACACAGTATACATCATGAACAGCCCACTGCTGGACATAGGCCTCTCCTTAGAAAGGAGGTTTTCCTCCCCCTCATTGCAGTGCTGTTGTCCTGCATAGTTTCCTCCCTTTTTCGGCTCCTACGACACTCACGGGATGATTAGGGATGGTGATACTCCGTATCCTTAATCCGTCACCACGCAGCAGCAGTAGGTATCCATACTTAATATTTTTGTTTCCAGGACAAGAACGACAACGCTCCAATATTCACGTCCGTAGTCCGTCCGGTGACAATAGAAGACTCATCTTCAATAGGCAGTTTGGTCCAAACGGTTGAGGCCGTAGATTCTGACGCTACTCCACCTAATAACAGAGTCAGATACAAATTAGTGGGTAGAGGCAAAGCTTCGATTTACTTCCACGTGGAGCCTGATACAGGAGCTGTGAGAGTTCGAGACGATTTAAGAAAGGAGACGGATAGCGAGTATACTGTGAGTATCTCCTTTGTATATTTTTGTGTCGACAGAAAAAGATTCAATCATATTGGCATTGTAACCCTACCAAGTCTCGTTCCATTTTCCAAGAAAGCATACCATAGAGCTATTGCATAGCTATGAGTTTGATTTTTAAGATTGGCTAATGTTGCATATTTCTTCTTTTATAAATAATTGCTTTAGTTGATTGTAAATAAAATATCGTTCATTTCAGGTGGACGTACAAGCGTATGACCAAGGAGAGCCTGTGATGTCGTCGGTCCGTAGCCTCACTGTGTACGTCAGCCATTCTGCTACTGTGCCACCAGACGTAAGTCGACTAAATTAAAAATTGAAATCGATAGATGAACTATGTTCTAACTTTTAACTACTTTCGTTTAAAAATAATTAAATTTTATGACTACATATGTAAGTTTTTATTACAAAATTAAATTTGTAAGGTTTCAAAATATGAAATATCCTTGCAGGTGGGGCTCGGATTTGCGGATACAGTTTATACTGAACACATAGCAGAAAACTCCCCTAATGGAACTCTTGTTAGGATTCTACCTCTTCTCAATAAGAGAGAACATTCGCCCGATACTCCGCTTAAGTGTAAACTCACTGAGTCTTCGCAGAAGGGTAAGGAGTTACATCCGTATTATTTTAGAATGTTTATGGCTAGTGTGTAAAGAACACATGTCATCTTAAAATGAGATTTGAGGGATTGGCTTTGTTTGGTTAAAATTAATTATTCAACAATCCCTGTGAAATTAAGTACGATATATTACTGTGAAACACTGGTTTCGTTATTATTTTAACAGGTTATTTAGAGTAATAAATTGGGCAATAGTTCTGTATAATGTACAGTATGTGATGTGATGTTTTTTATCAAGTATTGAGTTTATAGTTTAATAAAGAGGAACTGATTTAACTTGAAATTTAAATCAACAATTTCATTCAGATATTTTACTTGTCTCTCATATCGGTCTCTTTTGTTAGAGATGCGTTTGCCCAAACCGGTTCTGTGAAAGAGACACAACATATGCGATTTTTGTTTTTCTCCCCTTGAAAGAAAATAAGCTTTTATTGCCCAAAGAGGACAAATTCCAGAATGAAGAGAACTGCATTGTTTAAAATTTTATTCAAGGAATAATGTATGTGTATAAATGTGTATGTGGGTGAAAAACTAAAAGGTCTAATCGGTTAACTAATACCATTCTTGCAGGAATTTTCTACGTAAAACTAACAGAAGACAGAGACTGCGCCATCTACCTCAACACTAGTTCTTTAGACTACGAAACTCTTGGCGAATACTCGTTAGAAGTACAACTGGAGTCTATTCAAGGGCTTATCAACCCCGAGAGCAGTAAGGCGACTATCAAAGTTCACGTGATTGATGCCAACGACAATGCTCCAGTGTTCGCCTTCCCTGAACAATCGACTATTGCAGCCGCTAAAGGAAAATATTTTGCTATTGTGACCAAAGACATGTTATTAGGGACGAATGTTTTGCAAGTTAAGGTAAGTTTTCATGTTACTACATTACGTTTGCAGTTATGTAAGTATAATTCGGGGCTAGTGGTTAGTGACCCTGCCTGCTAAGCAGTCCTTTAGTTGCTTTTCACCGAGTGAGTGAGGATAACAGATACAGCGTGGAGGAGGAATAAATGAGCGGCAACCCACAGGTGCAGGTGTTCATGAACGGCGGTAGTCACTTACCATCAGTTGACCCGTTTGCTCGTTTGTTCCTACCGATAAAAGGTTTTAATAGTCGTTATATAGAAATAATTGACATAGAATATTGTTCAAAATAGTGGATTTGATTGATTATTTATTACCTAAGCAACATCGTAATGTTAGGCAAACTAATGACACAATGATTTATGACAGTATAGTACTTAATTTTTAACGACTATATAAATACCACTCATTAATTACACTTTCTATATCAGTCATTCTTGAACATTTGTGTAACTTAGTATTGATTCAGAACTCCAGTGTCACTATCACTTACTTTAATCTGTTCGATTTCATTATTTTAATATAATGCGTCTGTTCATTAATCCTGTAACAGGCTAAAGACAAAGACAGTGGAGATTATGGAAAGATAGAATATCACAAGAACTCCTGGACATCAGCAGCGGAGGAGTACTTCAGCCTGGACGCTGACACGGGTGTGATCAGTAATATAAAAACCTTCGAAAACGTTCCTAAGGAAAACTTACCGTTTAAATTTAGTGTGACCGCGAGAGATAACCCTAAAGCCGCACAGGATTATAATATTGCTCGGGCTTCCATTGTGGTGAGTTTCTTTTTGTTTAATATAGTATTTATAGAAAAATCATTTAGTATCTTAAATGTATTTTTGGTCAAAACAAACAGTGTAATGTTTATTCATATGTACAAATAGAAAAACTCATTTATAAAAGACAAGGTCTAGGTTTATCTAACCATGTTTTGTAATATAAAGTACTCAGCCATACCTGGCATAGCAAAGGCACACAGACATATACTAATGCGCCGATTGACCGATATAAAGTACATGATGAAAACGTTTGGTTTTTTTATAAAGTGTACTACTATTTTCAATTTTGAATTGTCTATGCCTCAAGTAACAAGTGTCGCCATCTTTACGATATTAATGTACTTATTAAGGTTTAAGAACTCTTCTTACATTTGATTCTAAGACTGTGCACAGACAGTAGTACAGATTTATTTTACGTGTAACCTTATTTTTCCAAAAATAAAGGGAGCCTAAGTCATAAATCGGTCTAGACGTTTCGCAAATCGAGCCGACGAACTTTACATTACTACCTACCTACTAATCACTTTACTCGCTTTTTAAAATCTATTTATTAAAAATACGATTTCATTCACGTGTTTATTTTGGCAATGCTCGACTAGCTTCGGAGCCGGCAGTACGTGTCACTCCTTGAAAAAGTAGGTACTTTGGTTGTCTCGTAATTTTTGTGCCGCCCTTACAAAAATTCGCCAGTCCGTAGGACATACACGATTGATTCCATACCGCGGTTTGTCCGTAAAGCTAAAGATACGTTTTCATAGAGTTCCACGTAAATTAACAACATGTCAGGATATCCCGCGGTTGTGAAGGTCACTCACGGCATTATGGATGTTTGATACCGATAACCAAATAAAATAAAAAAGACTGATAATTCACTCAGTTTCAAACTACACTACACACAGAAATTAAAATTGACACTTTTCAAAATAAAATTAGCGGGTCTCGTTACAAGACAAAGTCTTGCGCACACGATAACATTAATTGTTCACACTATTGCCGTGTATTATGACGAAAGCAATAAGACTAAACAATTATTAACACAACAAAACTCTTCTAAACAAATATCTCACGAACAACAACAATATTGATACGTGTGATTACCGCGCCGCGTATACAGCTGATCGCTGCCTGAGGTCAATGTATTATGACTGCATTTACACAGGATGTTGCAAATTACGAAAACAAAAAAAAAGGCCTGTTTCTAAACCACTGAAGATTTTTTGTTCATATTTTGCAAATCGTCTAGAAATAAAGTGCAGAATATGTGGTTTACAGATTCTTTGAAAGATACATCACAGTCTGTATAACAATGACTTTGATATTTCAAACAAACATTATAATTTTATTAATTCGCATAAATTGTTGCAATTATTTGCTTGCATATGAAACATTTTACTCATCTTGAGTATAATGCCATAAGCATTTGACAAATTGACATCTTTTGATAGTTGCAATAAATTCAAAATTTAAAGATTTTCTTGAAGAGAATAAATTGTGCAACAAAACTTATATTTCAGATAAACCTATTAGAAAAAGAAAACCAATTAGTTTTAGAAGTATCAGTTAACCCGGACACAATGCGTCGTCGCGCCCGCAGTCTCCTCACCGCCATCGAAGAGAAAACGGGCCTCGTGGCTGGACTTGAGAAGTTGACTGCAAGGCATTACTTAGGAGAAAATGGAACGTTAGAGACAGATACGAAGGGAACCGACGTCTGGTTGTATTTAGTCGACCCCAGCAGTGGACAAATTTTAGCCAGAGAGTCGGTATCGGTCAAAAAGTAAGTACCTCTTAAATATTTGTTCTCCCTGAGGGTTTTCTACGTATTTATGGATTGAAATTGTTGAATTGAATTGTAGTTGGTTTATAGACTCTGTAGGGTATGCAAGTTGGTTTTTTAAGCAATGTCGTCTATAAATAAAAACACAAAAAGAGTTTTCTGCACGCAGAAACTATTTTTCTGTAGCATGTGGTACATTTAATTAAATCACATAAAATCGGTTACATAAGCTACACGCTACACGACGTACATTATGGATATGTTGAACTTTTACAGTATCTTAAAATTTATATTTAAGTTAGGTCATGTACGCTTTAAAAAATCATAGAGCTCTAATTTACATTTACTATTTACATTTACATTTACTATGAGTTTTGTTACTCGATGAGAAATGAATAAATAAAAAAAAAAGCTCAAATTTATATTTAATATTTACATTTACATTTACTATGAGTTTTGTTACTCGATGAGAAATGAATAAATAAAAAAAAAATATTCAATCCGTTTCAAATTTTGCTTTTATTTTCACGTCAGTTTTGTTTCCCATTTCTCATCAATGCAAACACCATATGTAACAGTGAAGCTTGGTAGAGTACGGCTAGTTCTTATTAATGTCTCTGTCTAAGTGAAATGGGTTAAAATTAAAATATTTTATAAAATTTATTTAGTGGGCTATTTTAAATTTTCTTTGAATTCGTGTAAACGCCACGAGTTGTGATATTGCCGAACTCCCAAGTTTGGCTTACAGTACAGGCCGATTAGTATTTGTCGTATTATCTATTTTTAAACAGAACCGGCTAAACCGGCGTGTGTTATTTTTAATAAATCTTAAAATTACTGCGGTCAGTCGAGACTGAAGGAAACGTTTGTATCCAAGTGCAATAGAGAGCGGCGTGCACAAGTACGTGTCGGCGCGGCTGCAGACGGGCGTGAGCGCGGTGCGCGCGCCGCTGTCGCCGAGCGCTCCGCCGCGCCGCGCGCACGCCGCCGCCGCGCCCCTCGCCACGGCGCTGCCCGCCGCGCTCATCGCGCTCGCCGCCGTCGTGCTCGTGGCCGCCGTGGCCGCCACCATCTACATCTGCGCCTCCTGGAACAGGTACGCTCCCAGCGCATTCGACCGTCGACGTCGACCGGGATCTCGGTGCCGTAATCACAGTATATGTGTATTCGGTTCTGATTCTGGTGATTCTCCAGTCGACATCGAACCGACTTCGAAGAGAACCGGTGTTAACCAATTTTTTCTTTATCTCACACCTTAAGTCACTGAAGCCTAAATCCCTAATTTTCTGGGGGAGGGGAGCGGAGATAATAGGAAGAAACCCTCAAAAGAAGGTAACGCACTTGTCTCTGTCGTTGTCATTGTATTCCATTAAAAAACTTTAAAAAAAAAAGCTCTCAATCCGTGTACAATAAATTGAACGCAAGCCATGTCGCAGGTACAAGAAGCACAAAGAGCAAGCCATCCAGCAGTACGGCACGCTGAGCATGAGCATGCCCCCGCCGCGCCCGCCCTCGGGCTACGAGTCCAGCGAGGACGAGCCCGCGCCCAGATACGAGACGCAGGTAACATACTTTAGTCTACAGTACTCACTGCTCGTGAACTATGCCTACCTGTTACTCACCATCATCATCGCAAATAAACTTTTTCATTACCTTTCTATAAATCTACTCACCTCTTTTTTTTCGATATTAAACATTAATGCTACCCTCTGTAAATAATTAATTAATTAATACGTTTATTAATACATTTACATAAATTTGGAACTAACAGCGATTTCTGCACTTAGCTCGTGGCTTGTATCGCAGCGTAATTAAAAGTCAGTTCGCTAATAGCGGTATTATACATAATATTATTTAAACTCCTCCACTATTATTACGCTAGTTCACGAACTTCACACGATTTACCTACTGTTCGTCTTACGTTCGTATTGAGCTCGAAGGACCAATGTTTGGGTGCAATTGGAGGGTTTAAAAATATGTAATTTGATGATATAAAATGTTTATTGTTCTATAAACTACTCACAATCGTTCGCAAAACACTATGATATCAAACTATGTTAAATGTATTAAATATTACTAAAGTTAATGGGAAATGTTAATATGTAATGTTTATTTGTTTATAGTAAGTAAAAATGTTATTGTTATGAATATTCCCGATTTTATATACATACATACAATTTTATTTTATTAAATTTAGTAATTATGTGTCATACGCCGCTGCCTAAGCGGATGCAAAGCACGTATCACAATGTCAGCAGTACATCGAACAAGGATTTTTCCCTACAAAGCCTACGATTATTTGATTTGGGTAAAATCGTAAAAATTCCGAGTTTCTTCTTCTCTTCTTTTACTTTTAAAATACCTGATAAAAGAAATGTGTAATATTTGTTTTAGGTCTTGAATATGGCGGTAGATGATGCCGATCTACAGCTGGACTTTAGTTCAAACAACCACGCATTTAACATTCACAGTGTGCAGTATTTATCCAAAGAAAATGGTAAGTGTTCCGTTAAATGTACGTTATATCGTGTAACCAAACACTCTAAGAACATCACTATTTGTAAACACAAAACATGTTTATATGTCTTGTTTAAACTGCAACTACTAATTACAACGTAGAAACTTAAAGTAGAAACGTTTCAACTAATATAATATAGTAGTTGAATTGTACTTCCTAATAATAATTTATTATTATCTTAACTTAAAGAAATTGATGGTATTTTACAAGAATATGTTTCTGGTAAATTAAAATCGGAATACTTTCAGGTGAACGTAGTCCAACCATTTCCGAAACAGCGACCACAGCGCGCGCATCGAGCGTCAATGAAAACAGCGGCACTCTCAACAACCACAACAGCCACCTGTTCGAGCCAATCGCCAACAACTCGCCCGCCGTCCGCAACACGCAGACCCTCAACCGCCGAACAACTAACACTCACCCATTGAACAACGCAATTGGCACTCTACCTCGCGTCAACAACAACAACGTCGGAGGGGGCCTGCTCGCCACTACACTAGGAAGGAAAATAAACGGAGGGAATAACCACAAGAAGAAAGCAACACAGCCTATAATGGCGTACGACGAAATACCCGGATTGCAAAGGTTTGTAATGAAAGCTTTGTAGAAATCAATATACTAATGAGGTATTGAAGCTACTTTTGCTTTTTTGATCGGCTTGTAACTTCTTATAGACTTGGACAAACGTAACGTCACAATAAGACAAAACAACAAAATTGTTATGTCACAATGAACTCTTATTGTAGCTTTGCTGTAAAAAAAAATTACACACGTCCAAGAAATCTGGTAGTGCTCACCAAAGCCTAGGTCTAAGTTTGATTACCGAACTATACATACATACTAATTGTGTTTCAAGAATAGAGGCATAGTGAATCAATAAATGAACATGCGGTAGATCAATTTTTTTTCTGTTAGTTTTAAAAGGCACTATTAATTATTATTATTTTGATAAGATATTTCCGTATATATCACATTGGTATTATTATAACACTACTAATAATAATGACTAAAATGATTAATTTGTAATTTTGTTTCACAGAGCGTTAGACAACGATAACGTCACATTTGGCAAAAGAAACTTCACTGGTTATTACGACCAATCACCAGTTGAGACCACCACAGAGCTATAATCACCAAGAATATTAAGATATTAATAGTTATTAACAAAATGTATTGTAATACCTTCAAGTGATAACTTAAAGGATATGAATTCAGTGATTTGGAAAACTTTGTAGTGAAAGACCCGAAGTGAATTCCGTCCAATATTATTGTTTTATAACATTTGTGTTCAACGAATATAATATTTGCTTCGTGATAGAACCGACTGAGAGACTTTTGAATAATTTTACATGTGTGAATAACGAATTTTTAGATAATTATATTTTTGTACTTAATGATATATTTTCTTAGCCATGGCTAGTCCCGTTTTATGAACAAAATGTGCATAATAATAATAATAAAAATGTAAATATGGCATTACATGGTGATGTATATTTTAAGGTACCTGAATTGTAAATACAGGTACGTGTACTTTTCTTGTAAACTATTTTATTAGTCTCTTTTTATATTTTCACTTTGGCAAAACGTGCCATCTCTTCTAAAGTACTTACTCATACGTTAGAGTAGTCATAACTATTGCAGCCAACGATAAACATTCCACTTCTGTGCTGTGATGAGTTCTCATTTTAATATTTCATATTAAATCTAAACTTCTTATACTTCGTCGTTTCTTTACATATTCTTTACGAATTTTGTGCCAGTTACTGTTAAAAATATTATGTAAGGATTTAACTACGCCTACAATTGCCTTCAACTTATTTTCGTACTTTTTTAAATAATGACACACTTGTGGGCGTAGTTATAAAATAATAATTAGCATAATAAATGAAAATGCTCAGATTTTTTATATGATTTTTATTTTTGAATCTGGCCTCAAAATGTTGTTTGTGCCAAACAGATCCAACCTTTTTATTTATTTCGTATTGGGAGTGTAAAATGTTACCTAATGTAATTTCACTGTATATCTTGTAAAATAATAAAATGGTTATTTTGAATGTGAAAAATAAATTTGTACTATATAATTTTGTGGTAAAAATGTTAATATAATTTTTGAAATAAATTAATTATTATTATCCAACTTGAGTTTTGTATGGATTGGAACCCCCTAAAAATTCAAAATCTGCGAGTCAGCAAATATGAATCCTAAGGTTGTAATTATTATTTTATTACAGTCGAGCGCTTAATATTCAGTACGTACGTCAGTGGTAATAATTATGGGAGAAACAGTTAAGTTTATTTGAAACAATATATTTAAGAAGACCGGATCGTCGCGTCTTAGACGATCTATGACATTATTTTTTGAAAACAAGCTTTACTTCAAAGTTTTTAGTTTTAAAAATAATCTTAATATTTATCTTTCTGTCCGGTCTGTTTAACGCAACTTTTGTCAATAAATTAGAAGAATAATAGCATTAAGTTAGAACAGTGATTAGTTTTTCGGATGAAAGTTACCTACCTTATGTCCTATACTGTTTGCCTGAAAATGAACATGTAAATCGGTCGCTCAATATAGCAGCGTATATAATACGTACAAACAAACATTAATTACTTTTATACACTAATGAGATAATTATTCAATCATTTTCAAGTAAATAAAAACTTTAACAAATACGCTCTTGAGGCGTGGGTAAATAAATGTATGTAGGATGTATTATAACCCTCATATTTTTAGATATTTTGGCACAGGTTTATACAGGTTCACATCAGAATGTTAAAATTGTATATTAACATATCTGCTTCCTACAGATGTAGATATCAGACCTATAAACAAAACGAAAATTGAAACCGCTCATCGTAAATAATACCTCAAGGGTTAAGCTTTAACTAAAAGGTTGCGGTCAATGCCCCTCCTGTTAAAAGATTAATGTGCCTACGAATTTGTTTTATGGCCAAACCGTGTAACAGAGTCGTGAAATAGTAGTCGGTCCTAATAGTAAGGTAAAATATTCTCAAGGGTAACAGGTAAGACCGAAAACCCCCTTAAACCGTTCTGAATGGCGTGTCAAATTGAATTTTAATGATCAATTGAATCCTTCACTTTGGAATCTATGACTCATCCGTCTGAAAACATTTAAATAATTTAAGTATTTTGTCTTTCAAATGAATGCTCTGTGCAGACTGGAGTGTGAAATTTCGTAATAATTTTGAATTTTATAGTTATTACATTTTTTTTTATGCCTGCTGAGGCTTAAATTTATGTTTACCGAAAAATCAATTACATCTCATAATTAAATTATATATCGTACAAAAATGTGGTCTCGAAACTACTGATGAAATTATTGGTCTAATATGACCATGTTTCCTCCTGTTGTCGCGAATTGAACATGCTTACTATTCGTCAGCGCCGTCAGCTGCGCGCCCTCACCACCCTCTATTCTATTCTCAGCTCGCCCATTTCCCCCTCCCACCTGACATCTTCATGCTAATGTTCCACCCACAACCACGATAGAACCCTCCGTTCATCAAACAATCCTCTTGTGTTAAACTCCTCGTTCCTAATCCAATCCGTGCTCCTCTGGAACGCTCTCCCTCTGGAAATCAGGAGAGCACCCTGCCGCCTCTCATTCAAGATAAAAGTTAGAGCTCTCATTCTGGACAACTAGCTGATTCATTACAACCTTAAAGTCTTATATATTATCTATATGTTGGTTTATGTATGTAGATACATAACTAGGTAAGTATTTATGTATGTGTATGTATTTGGTACGTTTGTATGTAAGTATGTATTTATCTCATTGTTTCTGTCTAACTTCTCAATAATTTTCTCTTACTTTACATATCAATACCTAGTGCAATTAGCCACACATTTCAGCACCATCCCAGACTGGGAGAAAATATCTGTGGCATTAAGTCCGCCATTGTACAACCCACACTTGTGCATAAAGTATTAAAATAAAAATAAAATAAATGGAAGTGGAAATGTTATTTAGAAGTTTTGAACTGTAGATATTTTTGAATGTGTTAAGATAGTCAGACACAGTTTAAGCTTATAAGCTTCTATTGATACACAAATAGTAATGAGCGATTGATTACAGGGGCTGGGTTGGAGTAAAGTAAGACGAATGAAAAAATGTATATATTTCAAGTTTTGTGAATGATTTACACTGTCAGTATGAAAAGAGAGTAAGAGTTTGAATAGACCAAGTTCAAGGGGCAAAGATATTTTTATTACCAAATTGTATTGTTGTTCAACCCTTCAAAATATTAGCAAAAGTATACGCCACGTATTCGAGCAATCTCGTCTGCGAACATTTTTAAATTTAATATCTCTTTATGCCGCGGTCCCGTACGAGTGTTACGTCGTACGAAATTACAGAAACGTCGAATAATATAAAATTCTACATTGCCTTACCTAATGCCGTGTACCGTTGCGGACCCATTCGTAAATTTGAAATATGTTTGAGCCTACGCGTGTTTTAATGTACGGTAAATTTTGTTGAGATTTTTAATATCTATCTTTATGAGGGTAATCTATGTTACTTTTCAATTGTAATTTTAAATTGTAAGGGAACAAACAAACTCTATGTGAAAGTGAGTGTGTTTGTTTGTTACGCTTTCACGCCTAAACCATTAAACCGATTTTACCGCGATAACCGGCAAAATCTAGTGTGAAATACAAGCATGGAAGTATAGATTAAAAAAACAAATGAAGATTAAGTTGAGAAGATGCTATTGTTATGACAAATATTATTATGTACATAAAAGCCAGTGGATGTCTCTAACCACAGGGGCTACTTCAGTCTCACGTGCGTTTCTCGGGTCGAGTCCGTTCCTCATTACCGAGGAGGGTGTCTGACTACCGGCCAATCCAAATGGACATCAGCAAAGATCTTTGCTATGTTAAACAATACACTGACCTGAAATAAAATTGGGAAAATGACATAATAGTTATGGTGATATCGTCATAGTCGTAGAGTAGTGTCGGATCTGAAATTTATTGAACTTTACAGGGCAGCCATTTCAAATAATAATGTTATTTTTTTGACATAACTTTTTTAATTCTAAATCACACATACATAAATATATACATGCTCAAAGTAAAATCACATGCTTCATTTTACTTTGAGCGCCTATCAAACAAACACTGAATAATTTAAAATCTAAAATATATTAAAAAAAAACTTGAATGTAGTAATTATGTTTAGACCATGTAGTATCCAAGTATGGTAAAAACTGAATTTCGCATATTTTTAAACACCGGCATTATGCTACGATCATGACGATATGTACCTAGTATATATATGTGTGTGTATTGTTACATAAAATTTTAGAATTATATTCTACTTGTCATCGTCGTCATCGTGGACCTCATCTTAATTTTCTAAGCAAAAAAGTGCAACTTAATCAAAGTACAATTACGTACCCGAAAGCGTACGTGTAAATATTAATAGGTCGATATCACGATCATCAGAAGCTTGTCAAAATTTGTTATTTATAGGTCAACCTACTAAGATTACTCATTAGGTAACACTTCTATTCAGTCCCTTATAGTGTTCGTTCACTAGCTTTACGCTAGGAAACAATAGAGACTATTTGGCATGGCATTAACAATAAAATTAATCGTGTAACTACGATACAGATTGCCTTTGTTTAGAGACGAAATTGAAACTGCCAAACTTTGTTTTTTGAAAATACTCAGCAAGGAGTTTGAACTGTTGAACTTTGTTTTCGAAGGGCGCCTTCACATTTGATACTGTTTCGACTAGAAAAATAGACCGTTAGCGATATTGACATTCTGCTCTTCTGACAATTTGCTATCCATTTGTCATTTTGCTCTTTTGACCTTATGCTCCGAAACTTAAAATATTAACTTTATCCAATTGCAATAGAGCTGAGTATTGTATGCAAGTAGTAAAATCTCACCCAGCGGACAGTGAACATCGTCCTCGTGAGTCCGTGAGCATGTTGAAACACACACGTGATTGCGGGAGCATGTTTGAATAATCGCCTTCTATTCTATTTCTACCAATAGCAGATGACAAAATCCAATAGCAGATACAAATAGAAAAATCCGAGTTGCTTGGTCTGGCCCGGATGAGCCCGAATTTTGTATGAGCATGTGCGAAGTTATTCGAGCATCGGCACAAGTCTCGAGGTAACGAATGGCAAAGAACATGTTTGAGTATACTCTACCATTTATCCGCAGTCTTTAGTTAAACTACGTCCGTACGTAAATCTTGCGTTTCTTTCGGTGATCGTGATACGTTACGATGACTCATATAGTCAATTTCAATACACGACGTAATTTTACTAATATAATTGCAGGTACAAATTTAACACGTGCGTACTCCTCAAAATACTATTACGGTAATAGACGTTAAATATTATGTATTTTAAATTTGTTTTGCAGTGTTATATTAAACTGTAACCGTAATCGTTTTATAGAAATAATAATGCAAAATATATCTACTTATTTGTAGAAATTCTGTGATGTGTATACAGCCTTATTTTGAAACTAACAACATCTTGCTGGACTTCTACGACGGCCATAACTCGTAAGTTAATGTTTGTAAAACGAGTTTCAGTTAACGAAGTTAGTAGAGGCTAGGGAGACATTATCCTTAGTTGCTCATATAAGGGACGTATGGGTCTGTCGCTACCTTATTGTATACATTGTCGTTAGCTCGGTAGCTTACTTCTTGATGAGTTCCTAATTGAGTAACGAGATCACGACATTTCTTGACATTATGTTTTAATTAAAATTATAGTTAGGATCTTGTTTTGCTCGCAGTTTTATCAAGCAATCTAGGTTTCTTCCCTGATTTGTACCGCTGTAACAGTTTATAATGATTGGTAGTGTATTCAAAGCGTAAAAGAGTAAAAAACAAACCCACTTCACATAAATAGAATGTTGAGTCCAACAATATTTAGAATTGTTGAGTAGGCTTTGGCTTCACTACACTACATAATACAATGTAGTATGGACTAGAACATGTTAAAATTTTCTTTTCTGTTTTAAATTAATGAAGTTTCAAATAGAAAGTAAAATAAATGTAAGTGTGTTCGAAAAGATGTATTTAATATCTTTGTAAGTAAGACATCTATTTAAACAAAGATTAAATTGAAGAGGAATTATTTAACAAGATTACATACTACGAGTAAATTTAAAGGCGGTTTTTTTAACAAATTAGCATACATGAATTTCTAGCTGTACCCTCCCACACTCCGCTGTAGCACACTGTGCTGGCATTAATGAGAAAATAAATTACAAACGAAAAAACCGACGCAAAAATATTATAAAAACAATTTTTATGGTGGTTTGAATATCGTGTCAAAAAGTTGAGCTCAATCGGTGCAGAACTTTTTGAGTTTTTGAAGCGTATACAACTTATTTTTTTCATGTAAATAGATAATGGGTCTGGTGACAAACTTTAAAAGTTTACAATTTACGTATTGTGAATGCAATGTAAAATACTATATAATATTCTGAACGGGTCTTTAGCCGATAAACAAACATTATTTAAAAACATGGCGCCCGGTACCTTTGAAATCTCCAGCATCTCATAAAAGGTACCTCAAGCTTTCATTATCAAACCCTTTTCAATCTAAAAGCCTTTTAAGTAGGTATGTTCCTTCTGGTGGTCAGAGGTTATGTTACTGTCTATGCATACGTTGATCTTGTACCTAACTTACGTTTTTTTTAGAAAAGATATTCAGGAGTAGACTGCATAGATTTTATATAGATGACCGATCCTAACATGTATAGGAACGAAGTTTTTTTTATGATATAAGGACCAAAAAAACATACACACAAACTATATAACATTGCAAGCGGAGGTCTCGAGTAAAACAGTATCTCGATTATGGAGGGCAAGGAGAACTACCTCTGAGTATGAAAAGTGTCCGTAAAAACGCGTTCAATAAGGGTGGTGCTGCGGTAGCTTAGGATAAATTTATTTTGGTTACTAGACTACGAAAATATGAGATGGTTCTCATTGCCTCTTCACTCCATAGTCTCGATCTATTCAGAAAACTAAGATTCTTTACAGTCTAAGTGTCGTGAAATTTTACTTCACTCGAAATATCTGTCAGTAGAGAAACATAAATTTAACACGTCAATGCTGGCCTTTCTCAACAATTTGAAAAAACAAGAAAACTCTATTAGGTACGAAGCGCTTAATTGAATAATCAAAGTTCTTAAATTAGTATGTTTAGGCCGTTTTAACACAAGCTCATTTGTTTTTAATAATAAAATAAGAGATTCTGAGATGTTTTTAAGTTTCGGGATCTTCAACTAATAAAAATTCTTTAGCGTAGTCTTTATATCTAGGCAAAAAGTTCTAGCTGGTGCTCATAATAGACTAAACTAAAACATAATTATATAAGTACGGCGCTCAACAATGAAGAATTCTTGAAACACTAGTGTACCAAATGCCGTTTGAGATCACAGCATCAATATACATTGGAATTCTGTATTTTCAGCTGTTGGAAAATCTAAATTGAGGATAAGAGCTTTTTATTACAATGTGCACATAATAAAATAGAGCATGCGAGCTACGCATCGACACGTAAGTCGCTAAGAATATTTTAATGACACTGATAAAATAAAAAAGTAGTATATACGCAAGTACCTACATTTTATAAGAATTGTATTAGGCTCCGTTGAAAAAGCATTCTACCACTTGCTTTAACATACAAATAACAGACGATCTAAACTTGATATCGCAAATAAATGTTAAACTTCATTATACGAGTATAGTGCTAGTTCCCACTTCGACATTATAACACAGTGTCATAGCGTAGTTTGTTTTAAGCCTTTTCTTATTATTTTAACAATACGTCAATTTCAAACTTGACATAGTTTATTTTTTCAAATTTAATTAGTATTTTTTTTAAATTCACCCTTTTGACTAATTTTTATTATTCCTTCATTCCAGTGACAGTTAGTCTGCAATATAAATATTTAATGAGACATCAAAATAAGCAAGCCGATAATCTCGATAAAGTTCTTCACTGGTACACACAGGCAAACGCATATAAATTTACTCATATGTTTCGCAAAAAATACCTCTTTTAGTTTAATTTATTTCTTTTAATTTTTATTGTTATCCTTATTTTACAACAAATGTTTATTTTCAATGTAGTAATCATGCCCCCAGAATTGTTTACAAAGAAAATATATATGCCTACCATAAAAAGAACTGTGTCAGTAAGTATACATGCTTACATAGGATTTAGAGGTGGAAATGAGTGGCTAAACGCCGCTTGCCGAGCCACGATGACTCGTTGGTCGTCTCGACTCGAGGCTTCATGTACTGGCTTCGGCGCCGTGCAGTTGGTCCAGCCGGTCATCGTCTAGTAGGCAGAGTGGTAGCACTGGAAACTTTACTTCTGACTAACGCAGATCTTTTCTGAGCACGTCTGCTTAGAGAGGTACCAGCAGTCGATCGCTAGGAGTGAATTGAGTTGCGCCGGTCAACACTGAAGTGCAGTTGGAACTCGGCTCAGCACACACTGGTCAACGTATAAGCCGTTACACGTTCCATGGCTGGCGTGTCTTCCAGCGCCTCATGCCGTCCTAAGTGTGGTCTCAGGTGGTCGGGTTTCCCCTCCAATCACTAGGGAGGCCTATCGCAAGGACGTGACGTCTTCGTGTGGTGGGCGTCTTCTAAATGGGAGTTTATCCCGAAAGGTGGTGCCCGTTCTTTTACAAGGCATGCGCTGGGAGCGGTCCGCAACCGTCATGTAGTCAAGTAGGACCGGTTTTGGTCGGCGTGAAATGTCGGGCGGGATACATACATGGGGACCGCCTTTTGGAGACATCACTACATACGCTCTTGATACTTAATCCGCCTCTGAGTACATATATAATATCTATGAATGAATTGTATTTTTATTTGACAAAAATCTATTAATATTATTTGCTACAGTTATTTAATTCTCATGGCTTCTTGCAGCTCAGAACAGTCACCATTCTTGCCGATGCGATCTTAAGGACGTGATGAGATGTAATTTTGCAACCTAAGATCGAAATACCTTGGTTCTAATGACGCTCTTATGCATAAAATAGATATCATTGTTTACAGTTAAGCGACACTAAAATTGCAATCAAAATCTAAGTTAAATTTTACAATCTCTGTAGATCTGCATTTGGCAAACATGGGGTAGCCTGGAAGAAGCACGAGTAACAACTGGGCGCAACAGAAATAATAATGATAATATTTCCGGATATCTGACACATAACGCCATTTAGTTTCAAACTAAGCAGAGCTTGTACTATGAAACCTAGATTGACTGATAGAATAGAAATGAAAGTGCCCCGCTGAGCAAGCGGCATGACGCGCTTGAACTATTAACTTTAATAACTTTTGTGAGAGCTTGAAAACAGTTGAACTAATATTGAGAAGCGTTAGACTACACGAACAATCCCTTAAGCATCTGGTTACATCTCAATAACATCAACGGGTCAACGGGTCAAAACATGTGATATGTTTTTATAACATTATTCTTCTATTATTTTTTTACCTTTTTAAAGTAGGCATCTAACTTCGTAGATAACTGACATGGACCTGATTCTCACATAAACACTAGTCAGTAATGACCATGTAGGGATACACTCAAGCATGTACAGGCACATAATGTACATACATAAAAGTTATTAACCATTAAAATATTTCATTATGTAGACATGTTGTTTGCTATAAAAAATTGTAAAACTTTATTGATTTATCGTGTTAAATATTATGTTTACAATGATTTTTTATTTGTCCAGTTGCAGCGAATATGTTTGTAGCGTTTTAATTGTGTACGATTTTATTACGTATAATAATTACAACATTGGTGTTATTAACGGTTGTTGTGTGAAGTATTTACAGCAGGTCACACGTCATGCTGGTGCTAATATTGCTTCTATTAAATTTATCTGACGATGTTTTCAGTTTGCGGCGGCATCACTGGTGGCATCGTAAGTATTAAATAATTATAAATTTCTATTTTTTTTTATACTTTTAATTGATGTGCATTTACACATCAAGATTTTACTTTTTTTTCCACGGTGAAGAGCTAATTTTTGTCTAAAAACAAACAAAAGCACAGTTGCACCGTTTTTTTTTCGACAGAATTAACAGAATTAAAATAGTACTTACGTACTCAATTCGTTATATTTGCAATTATTATAATGCACCCTCTCTAACTAAAAAGTATCCAGTTTCATACTAAAAAGGAGAACCTCTGAGAACCCCTGCAAACTTTAAAGTTTTAATGCTGCTAATGTGTCTACCGGTCTGATCTCATGCATCTTCTACGGGACGAAAGAATATTGTTGCTATCCAGTTTCTTTTCCACCGTTTATTTACTAAATAGCACCTCCTGGAATGTCGAGATATTGGAAGTTCAGACACGTGTACTTTAGGACATAAATACTCTTTTTAGCAAGGTACCACAGTTCCAAGCTGGTTGAATTTTAATCAGCGATAGCTATAGCGAAGTCGTGGCATTGTTGCACCTACGCTGAGCATTGGGTACTAGAGCGTCCACACTCTTCGTGTCAAGATAATTTAAACATGATCCTGATCTGTGAAGCATTTGCATGAATAAACTAAATTCAGCATTGTTCCAAAAAAGGAGTCTTGATGAAACAAGACTCGGACGAAAAAGTTTGAAAACTATAGCGGATTTCTGAATATATCAATCAATACTCACAGATTCTTTATTTGAAATTCTTGAAAATTTTATTTGTAATCACTACTTTTTCTTTGCTATGGCTTGTTAATGCGTCATCGCCTAAATGAAGAACAGTTGCCTGATGTATTGTTATTCCTTTAAGATGACGCAATCAGAGTGCAATTAAAAGATAAAGATGGTAATGTGCCACTATATTAAAACACATTTGAAGTAAATCAACTAAGTAAACATGCTAGTACATATTAGCGAAACATATATGTGCTCTAAAAATCATATGTAACACCTCTGTATACCAGGTTTAACGCAAATAAATATATTATTATTATTTTTATTAAGTATTACCGTCAGTCATACCATAATACAGTAGGTGTTTATTTTATACATAGTGAGTTGATACACAGAAAACTAGTTATGTCCCTATCCCTGAGGCGTGCACAGGACTCTTCAAGCTACGGCGGTTTTAGTCTCATTACGTCTGAGATTTGTGGTATCACTTACTGTCTCATTTACACTTTCCATTTTTTTATCTCGATTTGCCTTAATTTGTAGTCTGTAAACAAATAATTTTTCAAGTAGGGTTGGCAGTGGAGGTCTTATTGTACGGCGATTCGAGTTCTCGCCCGGAGCACCAGATTTCATGGAAGCCAAGTCTCAGAAGTATCGCGTACCTACCAATGACAACACTAAAGGGATGATGATATGTTCTTAAAGTTAAATTTCGTAAAATTTTTGGATCCTTAAAGATTTTATAGCTAGGCAAAGAACTACTGAGTTAGTATAAAAGATTTTCGCGGTTTCACATATTTTGCAATTTCTAAGACCTCAATGATGGTCTCAATGGTAGCCTCGAAAGGTGCTTTTTCTACCTCTATATACAGGACCCAGGTTTGACGGTTGAATATTCTTTGTGAGGCGAATGAAGACACCGGCTTAAAGTGGACCGTTTGATTTGAATGGAACCTTTTGTACTATAGTAGGGCAACACACCAAACCGCCAACTGTGAGCTAAAAGTTTTTATGTTCTTCTTGTTTGTCCAATAGCATTACCCAAATGTGGACCATACGAAGTAGCAAGTCCTTGTGCAATAACTTGCCCACCTCAATCATGCGATAGCCTGTTTACAGATTATTATTTGTGTGAGGAAGCAACACATTGTAGTCCGGGATGTAACTGTATTCACAATTATTTAAGAAATGATCATGGCGTCTGTATTCCGATGGAGCAATGCTTTGCAGGTATTTATAAATATAGCCATTGTCAAAGAAATAAATCATAGGTTATAAGTACTCGTAATCTGAAGTGAATGTAAATACTTACTTTTTACAATATTTCTTTTGGTCTTGCTCTAAAATATGAGAATGTTACTTTCAACTAATTTATTTATCTATTTACTTAAAACTTTTTTATACTTAATTATTTCTGTTGGCTTTTGTTTTCTCACCTTATTTTGTTAAAAGTTAACTGAGATTTGGCGAAAAAATACTACAAATATCTCTATAAAGGTAATATTAACCATATTTTCAAAACAAACATTACTAGACAAGATTCACGGTAACAATGAAACTTAGTAAATCATTATGTTTATAAATGAGATGAATTAGAAAAAAAATGTAAAATGCGCGTCTTGTAACTGACCTGTTGGTTTAGTGGTTTACTAACCAGAATTACTGACTGACCACCAAAACCACCAAAATAGTGGTTGGTAATCCTGTTTGCTAAGCGTGAGTTCGATGCCCACTCAAAAGTAATTGTGCGCACGATAATATGTTTTTATGTCTGAGAGTAATTTTTCTATAATATGTATGTTTTTAGAAATATATGTATGTTTATCAGTTGTCTAGTTATCACTGTACATACTGTCTAGTTGGGAATCAGACACCAATGTGTGAAATTTGCCGACCTATTATAATGATTAAATTGATTGATTGATTAATAAAATATGACTTCTGAGACTTAACCAAGAATTTGTCTTAAATCCTACAACTAAATACCAAGCAGTAAACGGTTATTTTATTACGCTAAACAAGATAGTGTGCTTAGAGTGAAATCATGAAAATATTCTAAATTCCGTCAAACTTAATAAGCAATTTATTGTAAACACACGGTATGTCAATAAAGCTGTTTCGATTGCACGACAATTGTCCAAATACTGATTTAACAGCTTTTATATTTCTACTCGTGAGTAATTACATTTTTATAGTCATATTTATTTAACTGGATTATATTCAACGCACATAACATTTGTATTGTTATTTCTAGTTATAATAAATCGTTTTCTCATATTTACTGGTTTTATAAGTGTTTTGAATATTTTTAGATTTATATCATCCTGGTCTTCATCCTAGAAGAAATCCTATGACGTGGTATCGAAACTGGTATCAGCTCATAAAAAGTCGTCTGATAGACTCATTACTTGTTTCCTATACTGACGCTGAATCATCACTATCTTCTGTTTCTGTTTCTTGTTACATTTCTCATCATACTGGGCCTAACAGCGGTTGGTTAAATTCTTTTATCTTTGTTTTCCTTCTTTCTTTTAACAATTTTATTTCACAGGTTCGTTAAGCAATAACAAATAGAAGTAGTTTTTGTTGTTGTTTTTTTTAATGCATACTCAACAGGTTCGATGGCCTGATTATGATCAAAAGGCTGTCTCCAATACAATGTATCATACATCAAAATATATTTTGTTATTGCCTTCTAGAATTTTGGAGTAAATATTTTTAGTTTAATATAGATGATAGCAGATTAGTTTAGCAATTAGAGTAGATTGACTAGGGAAGTACCTCTATTATATGGAGGATTTTCCAGTTACTTATTTCATTTTATATGAATCATAAACAAAAAAAAATCATGATTACTGACACCTATAAATTTGCAGATAACCAAAGATGCAGTGATCCTAACGCATCCCCCAAAACATGTCCTAGTTCTTGCCAACCGACTTGTGACCAGCCAAATACTAAAGACATGATTTGTACCCGGGAATGTCTTCCGGGTGGTTGTGTTTGTAATCCGGGATACATATTAAGTAGAACTAGAGGAACTTGTATTAAAAAGGAGGAATGCCCGAAAAAATGTAAGTACTATATTTAAATATGCATTATTGCATCACTCTATGACCTTTTGGTATATAAGGCGTTTCAAGTAAAACTCAATGAGTTTAGATTGGTTTTTTGTTTTTTTTTTTTTTATGTTAGAGGGGGCAGACGAGCAGACGGGTCACCTGATGGAAAGTGACTATCGCCGCCCATGAACGTCTGCAACTCAGGAGTCAAAAACGCGTTGTCGGCCTTTTAGGAAGGAGTACGCTCTTTTCTTGAAGGTTTGAAGGTCGTATCGGTTCGGAAATACCGCAGACGATAACCCGTTCCACAGATTGGTTGTGCGGGGCAAAAAGTGTCTCGAAAAGCGACCAGTAGTGGAGCGCCAACTATCCAGGTAATGAGGATGAAAATTTTGCCGTGTGCCGTATTAGTCCGAACAATTCCACTCTCCATGATATATGCGATAGAGAATGCAGAGTGAAGCCACATCTCTACGTTATGCCAAGGAATCGAGCCGATCGGAGATGTTTGGGCTGAGGCAGTTAGGGAGGTGCTCTCAAACTGAGGTGATACGTGTCTTTCGTGGGTTAAACTGGACTAGATTTAGTCGGTCCCAGTCTGAAACCTCCGCTAAGGAAGTTTCAATTTCAGACACAAGTTTGTTTCGACTCTCGATGACGTTTTCCTGAGAAATGTTGGGGCGGCCGGTATAAAGGGCATCTCCTGTGCTGTCATCTGCATAGCAATGGATGCCACTAGTTTGCAACATGTCATTGATATGCAGAAGAAACAGTGTGGGTGATAGCACACAGCCTTGTGGGACATTAGCATTTACGAATTTTAAGTCGGAGCATGCACCGTCGACAACGACCTTAATGCTTCTGTCCGCAAGGAAGCTGGTGACCCAATTACACAATTTCTCGGGAAGCCCAAAGGAAGGGAGCTTCGAGAGAAGCGCCTTATGCCAGACCCGATCAAAGGCCTTCGCTATGTCCAAACCAACCGCACAAGCCTCTCCTTTGGTCTCGAACGCCTGTGCCCACCGGTGTGTTAGAAAGACGAGAAGATCAGCAGCTGAGCGACCTCGGCAAAAACCATATTGTCGGTCATTAAGTAGCTAGTGATCATCCAAGTACCGGAGGAGCTGGCTGTTGATTATGGATTCCATAATCTTAGAGAACAAAGGAGTTATGGCTATAGGCATGTAGTTGGACGGGTCAGAGCGGTCACCTTTTTTAAGGATCGGGTGCACAATCGCTACCTTCCAGGAGTTCGGGACAACGCCTTGGGAGTAGGAGAGACGAAAAAAGCGCGTTAGAACCGGTGCCAACTCCGGAGCACACGTTCTCAACACGATAGGAGAAATTCCATCGGGCCCACACGACTTATGAATGTCGAGGGAAAAGAGTGCTATACGCACTGATTTTTGTGTGAACCGAATATCCGCCATATAGCTCTGGCACCGCGGTATGGTCGGCGGTACGTTTCCCCCGTCATCCAAAGTCGAGTTGGATGCAAAGAATTCGCCTAGGAGATCAGCTTTCTCCTTTGCATCATAGGCCAACGAATTATCTTCTATATGCAGGGGTGGAAAGGATTGGCTACAGAAATTCCCCTGGACAGCCTTGGAAAGAGACCAGAATGCACGAGTTCCAGAAGGAAGTCTCACTAGTCTCTCACCTCTAAAACTGTGAAAGACACAAATTAACACTCTTTGCATAAGAACTTGTTGAAATATTCTTATCGCATCTGAGTGAGCCTTCGGCGTCCATCTGAAAGCGTTGCCTTTGTTACTCAAATTAATTAATAATTTCTGGGAATTAAATTTTGTTGGCATTCTTGATAAACTTAACAAATGTAGACATTTTGTAATTCTCATACTTCGTACTTTGTAAGGGAGCTCTTCTAAAAATAAAAACAGTAAATAATTCAGGTCACTTTTATTAATAAGTAATTGGGGCAAAGTTTTGCAAAGATAGAATGATGCTGTTTGCTGTTTTATATACTGGTGGCAACAGGCATGGAAAACTTCATGATTATCGCTTCGATGGTCAAGGTGTAAAAGTGTTACAAATAAATGAACTCACCGGCTCATTAAAGAGGCTTCATACTGCTACGATGTGAAAACACAGTGATATGGCATGAATTGATAACCAGTTGTTTATTATTTTGGACATGAATCATGAAAAATGTGCATTCAATGGTAGTTTAATTGTATTTTCAATTTTGTAGCTAACCACCAATGCAGTGATCCTAACGCATCCCCCAAAAGCTGTCCTAGTTCTTGCCAACCGACTTGTGACCAACCAAATACTAAACACATGATTTGTACCCTGGAATGTCTCCCGGGCGGTTGTGTTTGCAATCCGGGATACATATTAAATACAACTAGAGGAACTTGTATTAAAAAAGAGGAATGTCCGAAAAAGAGTAAGTATTATGTTTACGTATGTATTATTATGTATTGAGGTTCTTTGCGTCCTTGTAGTCACTTCAAGTGAGCTTTTATGGATTGAGATTAAAAGACTAGGTAAGGCACAAAATTAACACTCATCGCATAAGTACTTCTTGAGCTATTCTGCGCTCATCGCACCAATGAGTTTTCGGCGTCCATCTAAAAGAATTATCTTTGTTACTCAAATTAAATATTTATTTTTGAGAGATACATTTTGTTGACATTCTTAGTGGATATAAACGTAACAGACATAAAAATTTCGTAGTTTGTATTTTCATAAATAGAGGAACTGTAAAGGAGTTTAAAAAGCAAAAACAGGAAATTATACAGGTCAATTTCATTTTTAAAAAATCAGGCCACATCTTCGCATTGATGGAAGGTACCCTTTACTGTTTTATATACGTGTGGCAACAGGTACGGAAAGTTTCATGATTATCGCTTCTTAAGTCAAAGTGTGAAAGTGTAACAAATGAAGTCGTCCGCTCATGAAATCACTTCATATTGCCAAGTGGTGAAGTCATAGTTATATGGCATGAGTTGATAACCAGTTATTTTCTAGTTACTCATTATTTTGGACATCATTCACGATACGTTTATGCTTCGAATGCTAGTTTTATTGTTTTGTCAAATTTGCAGCTAACCACCAATGCAGTGATCCTAACGCATCTCCCAAAAAATGTCCTAGATCGTGCCAACCGACTTGCGACCAACCAAATACTAAAGATATGATTTGTACCCTGGAATGTCTCCCGGGCGGTTGTGTTTGCAATCCGGGATACATATTAAATACAACAAGAGGAACTTGTATCAAAAAAGAGGAATGTCCGAAAAAGAGTAAGTATTACGTTTACGTATGCATTTAAATATTTATTGCGTTTTAGTTTATTGTTCTTCTTTGCGTCCTTTTGTTAGACGCTTCAAGTGAGCCTTTATGGATTGAGATTAAAAGACTAGAAAAGGCACAAATTTAATAGTCATCGCGTAAGTATTTTTTGATCTATTCTGCGATTATCGCATCCATAAGTCTTCGGCGTTCATCTAGAAGAATTATCTTTGTTACTCAAATTAATTATTTATTTCTTGGAGATACATTTTGTTGACACTCTTAGTGAATAAACATAAATGCAACAAGCATAAAAAATGGATACTTCCCATACTTCGTAGTTTGTTTTTTCATAAATAGAGGCACTGTATAGGAGTTCCTTTAAAAATCAAAACCAGGCAATTATACAGGTCAGTTTCATTTTTTAAAAATCGGGGCGAATCTCCGCATTAATGGAAGGTACCCTTTACTGTTTTATATACTTGTGACAACAGGCACAGAAAATTTCATGATTATCGCTTCTTAAGTCAAAGTGTGAAAGTGTAACAAATGAAGTCGTCCGCTTATGAAATCATATCAAATTGCCAAGTTTTGAAAACATAGTCATATGGCATGAGTTGATAACCAGTTGTTTTCTAGTTACTTATTATTTTGGACATCATTCACGAAAAATATACACGTTTATGCTTCTAATGTTAGTTTTATTGTATTGTCAAATTTGCAGCTAACCACCAATGCAGTGATCCTAACGCATCCCCCAAAAGCTGTCCTAGTTCTTGCCAACCGACCTGTGACCAACCAAATACTAAAGACATGATTTGTACCCGGGAATGTCTCCCGGGCGGTTGTGTTTGCAATCCGGGATACATATTAAATACAACTAGAGGAACTTGTATTAAAAAAGAGGAATGTCCGAAAAAGAGTAAGTATTACGTTTACGTATGCATTACAGCACTGTATCAAAGGCCATAATTTTATGTACATGAATTTAAATATTTATTGTAGTTTATTTTGTGGTGCTCCTTTTATTAGATTGGAATGTTTAAGAGAGATTTTATGGATTGAGATTGTGAAACTGAAAAGAAGGCATAAGTGAACACTCTTTGCATAACTACCTGGTGAAGTAGCTTCTGCTCTAAATAAAGTGTAACAAACATACTCACATTATCATCGTCATCAGCCTATCGCAGTCCACTGCTGGACATGTCCTCTTCAATCGCACGCCACTGAGACTGTACTTACATACGCATTTATAATATTAATTTGAGTTTTCTTTACAGCTACTATGTGCAATGGTGACCCCAACGCTATGGTGTTTGATTGTCCTTCACCCTGTCCACCCACTTGCGATCAACCAGATACTAGCGGTCTGGCCTGTATTGCTATGTGTGATCCCAGTGGCTGTATATGCAAAGAGGGATACATTTTGTCGAAGATTGGCGGGCAATGTGTTCTGCCACATGAATGTCCAGGTTTGTTGTATCATATTATACATTACAGTAAGTAAGTTGGTGCAGGTGGCCAAAAGCCATATAATGTTTTACGAGAACGTTATGCAAACCTTTAGTTTAATTGTTATTAAATATTGTGACCAACCAAATACTAAAGACATAATTCTAACTCTGGAATGTCGGAAAATTATTATAAATAGGACTTGTTTTCGATAGAGTTGTTATGTTGATAGAGGATCAGGACTTTCGAGTTACTAGTATACATCCCTGACCAACTTGAACAATTATTTACACACCCCAATCCATTTGCATAACCAATATTTATATTCTCCTTCTATTACATGCCTTCTCTTCCCCCTATATAGTCTGAATTTTTCCTTCTCGATATTCCGGTTTGCAGTAGACTTGATCTGGATTACAAAGTGGAACCAATTATGATAAGAAAAATGTAAATGTTTATGACTTATGTGCCAACATTTTTTTTTCCCTTTAGGTGGTGCTCCGAAATGTTCTGGTAATAAAACCTACGTTGACTGCTATATTGAGTGTACTAATAGATACTGTCCAGGAGATTATAGCGACGCATTAGTCATTTACGATCCAGTGTACCCTTGTGCGCCGGGCTGTGCGTGTAAGGACGGCTATCTTATGTTAAATAGCGATGATCGACGATGTGTTTTAGCCGCTGAATGTCGTAAGTATAATTTTGGTCTACGATTTATAATTCCATTGATTAGTGCAACCAATGGAAGATTACAATGTTTGTGATTAATATTAAATTCGACCAAGATGTAATTGTAAGTTTCTCTATTACTAATTAAATACTAGGTAAGTGCTATATCATGAGTGTTGACCATAATTTTGAGGAACAATTATTTAATAAAATACAGTAAAATACTACTGACCCGACTGATTATTCAGTACTAGCTTATGTCTGCGGCTATTGTATGTCGGTTATCGCGGTAAAAAGTAGCCTATGTTACTCGCTGATAATGTAGCTTTCCATTGGTAAATTAGAATCGGCTTAGTGGTTTAGGCGTGAAAGCGTAACGTACAAACAAACTCTCTTTCACATTTATTATATAAGTATGGATGTTATATATAATACCGAGAGAGACAGTTTAAATCATTCTTATTACTTTAGTAAAATTTCAGATTACATACAAGTAGTGTGTGTAGTTAAAAATGTTACTTGGAATACTAATAATGTTCCACCCAAGCTATTGCGTAATGTTTTTTTTAAATTTCATACATGTTTTTAAGAATATTAAAGTTGAAATTAAAAAGCGTTGTTACTTTTTAGCACCAGTTCAATGCACAGGACCAAATGAAATATGGGATCCCGCTCCTTTAAATTGCAATCGACGGAGATGCGAAGATGTTAATATTAATACAGAATGTATAGATCTATCAACTGGGACTCCGCAATGTGTCTGTAAACCTGGGTATTATAGAGACATAAACAATTTATGTGTACCGGCTTCTGAATGTGGTAAGTCATAGAGGAAGTAAGTTGTTTTTAGTGTAGTTATTAAAATAAGTAAGCTGTAGAATGGTTAAGGGAATTTTTCAAATAATCACGATATTTTTCTTTATCTATTATTTTTTTGGTAAGTGACTACCGCTGCTTATCTCTTCTCTTCAAAAAGACAACGCCGGCACTAGGAATACGCCCTCTGTCGCGGGTGACTTTTCAAACATTGATGAAACGGACACAAAGAACACCCAGACACAATTTGTGGATTACACAAAGTGTCGCCCCATATGAGGATCGAACCCCCAAAACACAGCGCAGTAAGAAGCGGCGTAGTGACCGCTTCAACCACTACGCCATAAGTGTTGGTACCTTCAAGTCACGAGTGTGTTGCTGTCATATGATTTACCCTACCCAGAATTAGGGGGAGGCTGGTTAAGGGCCCCGGTAACTTCACTGACTTGGTGAAAATCAAAGAAAGAATTGTTTGACATCGATTTTCTGTGCGGACATAGTATCATTCTGGTCGAGCCAGCCTATTTTGCCGAATCAGTTTAGTGCACAACCCCTCTCATGGTGAATGTTTTAAGTATTTTATAAACTTTCATGTCCATTCAAACAATTTTAATGCGGGCCTTTTCATAGGTGTTCGTGCATTCTATCAATATTAAAATCCTTTTTATTAAATACCTACCTTTAACCGTTTGCACTTTTGACTAGGACTTTTATGTAGCACTCATCTCTATAACATGTCTGTACATTATATTTACCAGAATAGTATAATTTTATTCAGATTACTCTAAAACAAACGTATATTTATAAATTATAAATCAAAATGATTTAAAACCCTATTGCCATGTAACTTTATCACCAATTTTTTTCATTATAAAGATACTACTTATGAATCATGTCTAGCAACAGTATATAAAGTTTATTTGATCTGTAGAAACCTTGCAATCCTATGTTACAAATATGCAAAGTCGAAATTTGATGCAAATATTATATACCCTACTAGTACCTTTTTTATTAATCTTGTTTACTCTTTATTGTCTTTTTACCTTCTAGTACTTAATAACGGACATACAGGCACACATCACAACATTATCTATCTGTAAATTGCAAAAGAGTGGCCATGAATTTCTTTGCCCTTTCTTCTCATAAAGCTCAATTCCTTGGAAACGGGTGGCCGTAGACGGCACAGGCGTAGTATAGTTTTAATTTACTTTATTTTGCAAAGTATTTGATAAAACAGAGAATGTTGCTATTGTGTGTGTTGATCTACGACTTTAGATTCTACGTAAAAGACGATTTCAAACAATTCTATTTTTTTATGAAATAAAGATATTTTGAGTTTACCTTAATATCCAATAAACGCCACACACAGCCCGGCCCGTATCTGCCTAAGCATGGCTCTCCCACGTGGATGTCAAATTGTGGTAAAGTTACCATAGCAACGGAATACAACTTGAGGCAACGTGAGTCGGGCTCTAATTAGCTGGCCACTTGGACATTAATATTGACAGCGGTGCTAGGTCTGTTGTTCGAAAACTCTCTAAACCAAACTAGAAATCACAAAAAAATAGTTTAGTTCTGTCAAACCACGTTTCGTATTCTAAAAACATTGTACTTTCTAGTTTAGTGTAGAGAGTTTTCGAACAACAGAATAAGCACTATTAGCAGGTTCTTTAAATCTATCTTTCTTTGTTTAAGGTAAATGTAATGGAGATCCTAATGCAATTTCAAAACAATGCGTTACGTCTTGTGCGCCAACCTGTGCGGATCCAGATGTCTCAAATAAATTCTGCATCGAAGTTTGTTCAACAAGCGGTTGTGAATGCAAACCAGGATACATTTTATCCAAGATAGGAGGAGTGTGTATTGAGCCGGCAAGTTGTCCAGGTACTGGTTGTATTGTATAATTATATTTCTCCACAAACATCATTTTTTAAGCGCAGTAATAGGTTAACATTTAAGTTTATACTTTATAACGTAAATGTCATACGTTTTGGAATGTCTTGCTTGAGTAGGTACCATATTGCAAAATTAAAAAAAAACAATAACGCTAACAAATAACAATATCAATTGAAATGTAAAATCTTATTGTGGTTAATATAAAAATAACTGCAGGATTATTGAAAACTTTTTTACAATGTCACTTAAATTAACCAATAACTTATGTGCTAAAAATAGAATAGAACAATTTATATATATTCTAAAGAATATGGAAAAAATATTCTCGTCTACACATAAACCATAAACACATACAATAAAACTTTTTTTTAACTTTGAATATGCATGTATTTTTTTATTTTTCGAAACGTCTCTATTACTTATTACAATACCAAATATAAATATAACACATAAGAAATATAAATCATAGAGCTAAATAATATTTATTATAATCACTATCATTTTCGGGCGATTTAAATATCATTTTGGTGGGCTCATTCTGTGACGCTAGATTACACGAGTTCGATGTCAACAATAAAGTGTTTGGTTCTCAAGGTTACTGAAAATAAGAAAAGTGCGTGATATAAGCGTTTTGTTCCACTAATAACGTTGCGTTTAGGAAATTTGCAAGGAAATTAAAAATAATTGCTTTTGATGTTTAAATTTCACTATTCAATACCTAATGATAAATTAAAAAAAAAGCAAAGACAGACGAATTGATAACCTCCTCTTTTGTGTTTTGGAAGTCGGTTAAAATTAATTGTGGCATACCTCTAATATGTTTTAGCGATAAAGATAATAATAACAATAAATAAACTATTTTAACCATTTGGAAGTGCAAATTCCCTATTGTAAGTTACGTATAAGTTGTAAAGAAAATATACTTAGAAGCTCTAGAGGTATGCGTTTATTAGAAGATTTTAATTAAAATTGATGTAAAAAATGTAAAAATTGTATTTCTAGGTGGATCTCCTTTATGTGGTGGAAATAAAACCTACGTGGATTGTTTCATCGGCTGCCCGACTAATTACTGCCCAACCGACGATAGTCGAGCAATGATTGCTTGTTCCATTGCTTTCCCGTGTCCTCCAGGCTGTGCTTGCAATCCAGGATATATGATATTGAGCTACGAAGACCAAAGATGTGTTAAATCTTCAGAGTGTCGTAAGAATATTTAAATTTAGTTCAAAATGTGACAGAGCCTTGCTTTATCTCTTATGGGCCGGCTCAAACGAAGTGATAGGACTGCCTTACAGATAATCAGCTACTGTTTCGTTGCTAATCAAAGATTGGATGTGTTTACTGGAGCCTCCCCCCCTTCCTTGCTTAACCCTGGCGACAAAAGGCGACAACGCATGTCTTGAGTTGCAACTTAAACAGAGTTCTTTGCCCCCCCCCCCCCTGCTGTAACAAAAAAATATTTCTGTCTTGCCGAAAGTGGGTGCAATGTTTGACAACTTCATCCAATTTTTTTGTCACCATAACAAAAAATACAAATTTCCTTTGTAAATTGGTACTGTATGAACTTCATCCGCAGTAAATATTGAAGTTATTTTTTAGAAACCTTTAGGTTTAAGATAAAGATAACGTGCTTATTTATTTTCAGCACCAGTAAACTGTACAAGGCCTAACGAAGTCTGGGATCCTGCTCCTTCTATCTGCTACTCAGAGAGTTGTGAAGACACAAAATCGGATTGTAGTGACAATCCTGGTCCTCCAAGATGTGTGTGTCAAAGTGGATTTTACAGAAACAAGGATGATATTTGTGTACCAGCTTCGGAATGTGGTAAGTGACTTTAAGAAGGGATTATGTTAGAGTAACTTATTAAAATTTGTAATTACAGAATAATAAAAATACTAACAATCATAATAAATGATGTCAACATTGACGGTTATCCTTTCACAAACGATAGATATGGGACTTGGATTGACAGATTGCGGATATGACTGGTGAACCCAAATTTGGTAGTTGGTATTGTAGCTGACAAGCTGCTTATAGGTGTAGTTATATACGGGCTAGGGGTCTCATTTTTAAATCTCTTGTCAGTCTGCACATGGAATACCATATGCTTTTAGCCACCTAACGTTTAAATATATCATTGTAACTCAGCAACCTACAGCTTGCGTTTTCTTCGAGAGAGTTCAGAGGAAAAAACAAGTTTGGGGAGTCTGGAGTCGTTCATATGTACTAAATGAGCTCACCACCTGAGTAAACCACTATATTTTTCTAGATTTCATGTCTATTATTTTCTTTCGACGTCTGCATCGGATCTCTGATTTGGGGACATGGTCTTGCCATTTGAGGCATATTAACAATTATTTGTTATGGGTAGGAGAACCTCCATCCTAAGCAAGCAAATTCTGGCTAACCAGTCAGAATCACTAACCATTCGAAAAATATAAAATACCAATACTAATGTATTCATTTCATATTTTGATTGTTTTCTTAACAATAGATACGGGGTGTAATGGTGATCCAAATGCAATGCGAAGCGCTTGTCCAAGTTATTGTCCACCTACTTGCGATGAGCCAAGCTCGTTTGGTAAAATATGCATAGACGCGTGCGATCCAGTCGGCTGCGTGTGCAAACCAGGATACATTTTGACGAAATATCCTGATGGAAAATGTGTTAAAGCTGAGGAGTGCCCAGGTAAGTTCTAAAATATTATTTGATTCGATTAGCACAGACAATAGTCTAATAGTAATTTTAACGAAGCCTTTACGAACAGGAGTTCCCGTGGATATATATATATATATATGTATATAAATTAGAAACATATCAAAGATCAGTATTTCAAAATGGTAAATTTACTAATATTATCCATAAGAAAGTGTATTGACTTATAACGCCCGTGTCGTATTTATCCAACAGTAGTGACGAGATATATTATACGATAGATTTTTTAAGGCATGGAATGTGCATGAATAAAAGTATTGCATTAAATACTAAATTATTAGAAAAACAAAAAGTAATTGTTATTTGATTGTTGTGCGCGTTGTGCACGTTGTACTGTGTAAATATTAAATTCCTTAAAGAAATAAGCGATTGAATTCTTTATCTACGGGCGACTACAGATGCAAATTCGCATGGTCTGGTGACCATATTGTTATCTAAATCATTTTACGTTAATATAGCCAGCGCCCGAATCGGATAAACACGACCGCCTGTGACGACATAATAGAGGCAAACCGAATGGAATTTTCCATTAGTGCTGTGCGTGTTTTAGTAAATAAGTTTTTTACCTTTTAATGTTACATTCTGTTTTTGTTTGAAATATTTTTTTAGATTTATTATTGATTGATCACTTGATTATTAATTTTATTAGATTTATTATACCTCATAACAAATATCAACAATGATGAAATAAATGTGATTAATAACGTTAATTTGTAGGGACAGAGTAATTAATTTAAGTGTTCGTAACACTTATATTAATTACTCTGTTCTTTTTAAGTGATTCTTGATTATTTTGGTACGTGTAGGTAATAACTCGTAGAAATTATGTTTATTCATAAACTGTTGCTTATGATTTATTTAAAATAATAGCAAATACAAATACCAATATTAGGTATTCGTCGATATTATCGTAATGCACAAATGATATAAAGCTGGGCGGTTAAAAGGTTAAGAACAACGGAAAGGGCTGCAGCACACGATCGGACGGTGGTGGCGGCGGTTTTGTCGCCCATCAAACCGTTTTTTTTTACTATTGATATTAGTTTGAAATTTGCTAGTAATTATTTTCATCCCCATCACTTGGATATTTGGCGATCCAGCACTGTGCGGTTTTCAAGACACTTTTTGCCTCGCACAACCAATCTATGGAACAAGTTATCGTCGTCGATATTTCCCGACCGATGCGACCTTCAAACTTTCAAGAAAAGAGCGTACTCCTTCCTAAAAGACCGGCAACGCGTTTTTGACTCTTGAGTTGCAGGCGTTCATGGGCGGTGGTAGTCACTTTCCATCATGTGACGTCTGTCGTCTGCCACCTCTTCCATAAAAAAAAAACTAAAATGATAACGAATATAAATTAAATTTTTGAAATACTCTGATTCCCAGGCTCCGAAAAATCCCTACAGTTAGAAGTTAAAAAAAAACAAGTTACTCGTGACCGCTGTACATTTTCTGATATTTAATTTCTATTGTAAAGATTGCAATCTGTTTTTTTTTTGCTTTAGTCTAGATCAATAAGTATATAACTTGCCTCATCTCTCGATTTCTCATGTTTTTCCGTTTAATGACCATGTTTTTAGAGAATACTCAAATTTATCTTTTCGGATATTTGTTTACCATATACATTTTATTACTATATTTCAAAGATTTACGTACTTAAATGGTCGAACTTCATTAATTGTATCTGACAGTAGTTATATGTATATATAAAGATTCAAAGGACTTTGATTCGTATAAGAATTTAAAGTCGAAAGTACAAAATAAGTCCGAAGTTACAGAGAAATTAAATCGATCAAATTTAAAAAGTGTTACCAAATCGCTATGATATTGGAATACTGTTTTCTTTTACAATATCAGCAGCAAATTTAATAATGGAAAAAGGACAGAAATTATGTTTTTTAGAATGTGGTAAATGATTACTCGTCTTCACAAATTAAAACTTTTATTTAATTACAAGTTACTTATGAGGATTTTTTAGAAATTGAGAAAATATAACTAAGAGACATTGAAACTTGTTTATCATCATAATTTTATTCCCTGACTTTCCAATATTATTAAAAACTGTAAAGAAGAATCAAAAATATATAAATTGTATTTTTAGGTGGATCTCCGTCATGTGGTGAAAATAAAACATACGTGGATTGTTTCGTCGGCTGCCCAACGAATTACTGCCCTTTGGATGATAGTCAAGCTATGATAGCATGTGACATTGCTTTTCCTTGTCCTCCAGGCTGTGCTTGCAATCCAGGATATTTGATGCTGAGCTACGAAGACCAACGATGTGTTAAATCTTCAGAGTGTCGTAAGAATATTTAAATTTAGTTCAAAAGTGACAGAGCCTTGCTTCAAACGAAGCTATTCTTTCGTTGCTAATCAAAGATTAGATGTGTTTACCAAAGCTCCCCCTTTGCTTAGCCCTCTAAGGGGGTAGTCCACGCATGTCTTGAGCTGCAAGTTTCCGTGTGCGGCGTTAGTCACATAAACAGTGTTCTTTGCCCCCCATGCTGTAACAAAAAAATATTTCTGTCTAATATATGTCTAGATATAAATATACACATTAATGATTTCTGTTCCCGAAAAACCGATTTTGAATTTCTAATACTGTACTTAATACTCATTATCCGTTGTGAATACTGAAGTTAAGTCTAAGAAACCATTACGTTTATTATAAAGCTAACGTGGTTGGGTATTTTCAGCACCAATAAACTGTACAAGACTTAACGAAGTGTGGGATCCTACGCCATCTAACTGCTACTCAGAGAGCTGTGAATACATGAATTCGGTTTGTAGTGACCATTATCCTGGTCCCCCGAGATGTGTATGTAAAAGTGGATTTTACAGAAACAAGAACGATATTTGTGTACCAGCTTCGGAATGTGGTAAGTGACTTTATTATTCCTTTGTGTAATTTGATAGTCAAAAAAATCTCAAATAAAAAAAAAGACCAGAAGTTGAGTCGAAGAAGAAGTATATGAAAGTATTTATTCTAACTGCTAAGACCATTCTGCTTCTTTTTATTCTTCATATTCCATGTTCAATATATATAGATACGGGATGTAATGGCGACCCGAATGCGATGCCTCACAGTTGTCCAAGTTTTTGCCCACCTACATGTGATGAACCAAGTTCTCGAGGTAAATTGTGTATTGATGGTTGCGATCCACGCGGCTGTGTGTGCAAACCAGGATACGTTTTGACGAAATATAAAGGAAGATGTGTTAAACTAGAGGAATGTCCAGGTATGTTATAAACTTTTTTTTTTTAATTGAAGTGTACGGCAGTATTAACTAGCTTATGATTGAGACTTAAGACTGTTATATGTAGCATCATCAATAAAATTTCAGCTTACATCTTGGAATTCTTTAGAACGTAATACGTAGCTGTCAAGTAGAAGATTTATGAATTTTTAGGCCAAGTTTGTGGATTTTGGTATTTTAAACGTTAGACATTTACTGCATAATCTGACCATTAAATCATCCTATTTGGTATTAATAACTGATAAATTTTATGATTTGTATATGTTGTGAGTTATCATGCTACAGAAAATTCAAAACGAATCTTTGATTTTTCTGCGTCAGTGTTCCCCTGCCGAAATATAATTCATCGTTTGTAATTTTTCTAAACCAGTACAATATTTAAATCAAGACGTGACAATGATTTAAATATTGCCTGTTTTTTAAAACTTAGTTAAGTGTAGTCGGATTTTGAATGAATGAACTTTTGCATTCAGATTTTTAGGTTTATCATATTTTTAGCTAATACAATAGAAATGCAAGCCTAATCGCATCCAGACGTAACCAAAACAATTAAAGATTAAACAGATATCATTTTCCCTTTACGTGACAAAATCGTGACATTTTCAGTCAGACTGTTTGTCGTACGGACAGAAAGGATTAGAGGATGTCATTAGTTAATTCTCTTGTGATATACTAAGCGGTTACTGACGTTTTTGTTAACAATCTAGTGACGAGGGTTTAGCTTTTGTTGACAAATGTATAAATTTAATTATACTATCCGTGTAATAAAACTTGACACGTATGACTTTTTAAGGGTTAATTATTTAGTTCAAAATGTCTTTGACGCGGGATTTCGGGATCCAGAGACTTATCCTTCAGAAATTTTAGTAAAAGTATATTATTACTAGTTTTTAAAGTTCAGGATAATTTTTTTTTTGTTTTTTAGAGGTATTTCTAGATACTCTTCGTCTTAAAGGTGTTAATTTTAAATGACAAAAGGTTTCGAAAACTTTTTCAGGGGTCTTTACAATTATATTCTCGAAAGTTTCTTTACAATTAAACTTCTTTCTTTAGAACATTTTATACGTAAGGTTGAAGTTTTAATGAAAAAAGTGTTGTTTGCGAAATTAAATAATGGCACTTGATGCGTTTTTAATTAACAACGTTATCCTGTTCGTAACACACCAGACCTGCCAAACTAATCTCTAATGAAACTGGAACTAATCAGCTCTGCACTATTGACATTAAGTAAGCTGGACTACATTTGTTTTTTAATTTATTTTGTTTCTTTGTCCCTGTGTGAATCTCCAACATGTGGAGCAAATAAAATATAAGTATCTTGTAAACTTGTCAGCGCGCTAAACTAGTGCCAATAATGCTTCATTTTCTTCTATATTTCGTTTAAGTAAAGAACACTAGTAATATGAATCTTTATTTACTAGCAATCTTATCTTTAATCTTTCCAATCTAGGTATAATGGGTAGCAATCGAACACGAACCACTCTATCGCATGTGCCTTAGGTATTTATTATCACTGCTGCCAGCTGGTATCGATGGTATTTCTAACCAAAGTTCGTAATTTTTTTTGGGCAAATTTCAAAAAAAATATGACATTTAGTTATTTGAGATGGCCGCATAATGTTTTTTGCCTCGATAAACATCTGATAGCGGTCATTTCTGTACACATTCCCTTTTTACCCACTTCATGTTTCAAATAATCTATTCTTTATTCTATCACACTTTACATACGAATATTATGATAGATGAGGGTTTTTCAGTCACTAACGCCACTGCTTAAATTCAATATACTCATTGTTAATAATAATAGTTTACAACAGCCACTTTAAACTTTTCTTATTATAAAAACAAACAAGATAAAAATAAGTTCATAAGTTGACTTTTGTCTGACGAGAATTTATAGTTGCTTGCATTCCAAAGATATGCAATAGGATAACCGCAACGCTTGGACAGTAAACCTGATTTCCATATTTTTCATTTGAATTTTGTCGTGAATAGCTGTGTAACAAAGAGGGTAAATCTATGTCCGACGATAAAAATTGGATTTAATATAGAAATAAAATATTAACAGATAGAATATTATGTAAAGTATGTTGTGTTATCGTAAATTTAAAATGTTTTAATTTTTTTAATGTTAAATCAATGTTAAGCATTATATCCAGGCTGCTGTAATTATTTATTTTCAATAAGAGTTATGATTAATAAGTAAGCTACATTGGTTTGTAAGCGTAGTATACCTACTTTCGGCAAAAAGGGAAAGTCGAGGTAAGGCAAATGTTTGCTGAACTTAAAATCATATGAAGCACTTGTAAATCACATTAAAATGACATTAAATTTACTTAATTTAGGTAAATATTGTATTTGTTAAGTACAAATGACAAACAAGTTAGCAAGTATTACTAAGAAAGATTGAAACCTAGAGCGGGTAGTATTTATACTTATGTATATCGTTCTCTTAGTTCAAATGCCTTAGAGCGAATAACACAAAACTGAAAAGTGGAAATAAATCCCGGCTTTTTCAAAGGAAATTCGTTGGCTTAACTGGAACCCCAAGTGAAACAGATTTCTTCGACTTAAGTAAATCTAATAGAAAATATTTGGCTCTCGGATTACGTTATGTTCTCTTTTCCTTTTATGTGTTTATAGACCGTTATATTGTGAAACGTTTGATGCCTTTATAATGATCACTGTGGGCTTTCAAGTAAACTACTGGAAGGCGTTTATTACCTTCTTATTAAATCTCTAGTTTTATAGATACAGTTGCTACTTATTCAATTTTCAGTGTTTATTTGAATTGTGCTTTTTATACATTTAATGAGCTGTGCTGGTTTTAGTTATCTAGAAATTTAATTGAATGAAATCTCGTAGGTTTAAGACTACTCTGGCTCTTGTTGCATGCCCATTTATTACTTATTAATTGCTTTGTTTTTTTTTTTATTTTCTTTTTGTTATTAGTAAGTACAATTGTTTTATCGATTCGATGCGGGTGCCGGGTCTATCGCGTGTTAGATGGGGACAACACATGCGACTTCGACAGCGCCTGGGAGATGCAACCCAGGTATTGGTTTAGGGAGTACTCCTTGCGACGCGTCAGCGCTCACCTCCACTGTCTGCTGTGTTACCCCCTCTACCATAGCGACCTTATCATAGCGACGTGAATAATGACCCCGGTCTAATAGAGCCTTACAACCGGTTGGTAAGTGACTGGCTGTACCTATTTCCGCACTGCAAATCGTACAAGCCTTTTCTGTAGCTTTGCCCAACCTTAATAGGTTCCTTTGATCGGGAAGAGTCAATTGAAATGCATTGAGGTGAAATTTAAACAGGGCAGGTGACCAACCGTATAAAAGTGTGCGCCATTTCAAGGTTGGTGGCTGGTGGGATACAAAATTATCCTTGAGTTAACCATTCATTCTGCATTTCTAGGTTCATTGCGTGCACCTTGTAGGTCTCGTTTTCATCTTATTGTAGGAAAGATTTTCTTATCTATTTGTCGGTCTATCTTCTAGCATTTACCAATCCAACTCTACTGCGTACCCACCACAAAATTTCTTGTGGAATTGTAGCCGTGACTCGAGCTCTGATGATTTTTTGTCTTCTTAAGGTATCTAACGATTTCGTCTTGTGATTTTGACAATACATGTATTTTGGTAACTCTTAGGTGTTTGTAGAGTTTGTCTTTTTAATTTCACTCCAAAGTTATTCGAGCCCCTGTACAACGTTGCCGGGTCTGCAGATGTTGCTAGTCCAAGCCACGACTTCAATGTCCTAGTGACTTTCGCTTGTTCTTAAGTGGTTCCGGTTTATATTGTATACCAGAAATGGCCAGTTGAGACGTGATGTTAAGTAGTTGTCGTAAATCCAAATTTTTTTGTTACTTATTAGCTGTTGTTCTACCTTGTCAATATCTTTTACGAAGTCATCGCCTATTGCGGTTATAGATAGAGTACGACCTTTGTAGTCTTCTAATCTTTCTTCCAAGGAATTTAAAGGGCACGATTTCTGATATTATTCAAACTGGTACCCCGCCGGCCCAGACAAAGGCAATAATAGCATTTGCTAGGTATTGTCCTCATTCCCTCCGTCCAGGTATAGAAGTCATCCACCTTTCGCAGTAGTTCTTGGCACTGCTTCGGGTTACGTATGAGGATCGCGAGGTCGTCTGCGAATGCTAAGATGGATGCCGTATATTTTCCATTAACTTTAAACCGGTAGTCCCACCTCTTTTCGTGTGTTGCGATGTTATCTATTAATATATTTATAGCTGCTTATTACCAGTAGCATTTAACTACTGGTGATAAGCAGCAACCTTGGAACAACCCTACTCTGTATTCGAGGGGTTTTGTATGTCCCTCTTTTGCTGTGATTACAAATTTTAATTTACTATAGTATGATGAAATTATTTCACAAACTATTGGCGGAAAGTTATACCATTTCAAGGCAAATAAACATGAGCTCTTGTCGTACTTAGCCAAAGGCGTTTTCCAAATCTATCCAAGAGAATGTAATATACCTTTCATTTTTTCTAGCACATTTAATACATGTTTTGGTTTTCCGTTTATATTTTCATGGAATACGAGTCCTTATTTTTACAAATCCTTACTTCTTATTGATATAGATAGCATCAATACGT